AAACTGCTAGGTTCAAATCCTGCCTCTGCAAGTTGCTGAACTTCCCTGTGCCTCCGTTTCCCGTTTTGCAAATGGAGATGTTAATAATCCCTTCCTCAGAGAGTTGTCAGAAGGAATGAATGAGGTGATTTCTGTAAAGTACATAGAACAGCGCCCAGCACATATCAAGTGTTCTGGGAGGCAGGCCTGTGCCAAGCCCTTTCATGGACATTATTTCATTTCAATCTTCACAAAGATGCTGTGAGGAAGGAGGTGAGGAAACCGAGGCTCAGAGAGGGGAAGTGACTGGCCCAAGGGCACACAGCTGGTAAGTGGCAGGGCTGGGATTTGGACCCAGGTCTTTCTTACTCTAGGTCTAGTGCACTTTTACTAAGCCACAGCTGACCTGCACACTGCAGATGAGAAAGCCAAGGCCAGGAGAGAGGAAGCAACATGAACTGGCGGCCGGGCCAACCTTATCCCTTCCTGGTCTTCTCCTGACCAGGATCCCTGCACCATCCACTCAGATCTTTCTCCAGGGACAGACCCTCTTCCTCCTCCCCCATCTAGGTCTCCTTTTGGCCTCTCTCTGCCATCAGTCCTAAAGAAACTATTTGATAAGTTATATTATCATTAAGATTATTTTTTTATTATTTTTTTTTATTTTTGAGACGGAGTCTCGCTCTGTTGCCCAGGCTGGAGTGCAGTGGCCGGATCTCAGCCCACTGCAAGCTCCGCCTCCCGTGTTCATGCCATTCTCCTGCCTCAGCCTTCCCGAGTAGCTGGGACTACAGGCGCCCGCCACCTCGCCCGGCTAGTTTTTTGTATTTTTTAGTAGAGACGGGGTTTCACCGTTTTAGCCAGGATGGTCTCGATCTCCTGACCTCGTGATCCACCCATCTCGGCCTCCCAAAGTGCTGGGATTACAGGCTTGAGCCACCGCGCCCGGCCAAGATTATTTTTTTAAAATGGCTGTTTGTTGACACGTGCTTTTTTTACCAAAAAAAAAAAAAAAAAAAAAAAGCAGTAATAGCGAACACTTATCAAGGGCTTCCTATAAATATGCCAAACTCTGTGCTAAGCACTTTTAAATGCTTTGTCTCATTTAGTTCTCAAAATGAACCTGCGGGGTAGGTCCTAAAAAATTAGCTCCATTTTACAGAGGTCATGTGATAAGTGGAAGAGCCAGATTTAAGCCAGGCCCATCTGTGTCCCAAGTCTGTGTCCTGAACTGCCCCACCTCGGGGCCTGCCCACCCCCGCCCCCGATGTGTGGGAAGAGCTCACAAGGGCAAAAGTGATGTCTCCCTTGGGAGAGCTTGCCTTGAAAAAGCAGCTGCTTTGTATCCCAAAGGCAGGACTGGCTTTCCAGCCCAAGGCAAGGCCACTAATGTGGGAGGCTGCAGACCCACGGGTATGGGCCCTCCTGGCAGCCCCTTTGCACAGCAGAGTCCACATTGGCTGCACATCAGAGCTGGCTGGAGGGCACTGAAAATACACATTGACAGGCCCCCTCCAAGCCTACAGAATCACAGTCACAATGGGTGGGACCAAGGAATCTGGATTTTTTTTTTTTCTTTTTGCGGCAGGGGAGACAGAGTCTTGCTCTGTCGCCCAGGCTGGAGTTCAGTGTCACGATCTTAGCTCGCTGCAACCTCCACCTCCTGGGTTCAAGTGATTTTCCTGCCTCAGCTTCCTGAGTAGCTGGGATTACAGGCACCCACCACCATGCCTGGCTAGTTTTTGTATTTTTGGTAAAGACGGGGTTTCGCTATATTGGCCAGGCTGGTCTTGAACTCCTGACCTCAAGTGATCTGCCCACCTTGGTCTCCCAAAGTGCTGGGATTACAGTTGTGAGCCACTGCGCCTGGTCTCATCTGGATTTTAACAAACTCACTAGAAGATTCTGATTCAAGTGGCCTTGTCTGTATTTGGCAGCTCTTTGTCCTGTCACTTCCTGTTCCCAAACCTTCCTGGCACCCCACTGGTTACAAAATAATGTCCTCAGCCTGGAGTTCAGAGCCCTCCCACCAGCATCATCTCCCCCACATACTTCACCACCAAAGTCACCATTCCCTGATCTCATCAGATCCTGCCAGCCTTGGGCCCTTTGCTTAGGGTGAGCCTCCATCTAGAGGGGCTTCTGGAGTCAGAGAGACTGGGCTCGAATCTGGACATTTTCACCTACTAGCCAGAGGCAAGTCACTTTACCTCCCTGAGCCTTGATTTCTCTCATTTGTAAGATGGGCAGAAAGCCACTTGCCTGGCAGGCCACTGCACAGATTCCATTAGGTGATTGATAACATGAAGGCCAGGAACACGGAGGCAGCAGCCCATGGCAGCGATGAGAGCTATGACTCACCTCCTCTGTGCCTCTCACAGCCATCCCTTCCGGACAAGAGATGGAAAGGCAGGTGGAAATTGGACATGTGTGGATATATAGAGGTAGTGGCATTGTGGGTCAGTTTTTCCTTTCGTTTTGGTTTTGAGTAGTGGTGTGATAAGTGACAATTTGCTACAGGTGAACCCTTTCTTTTTTTTTTTTTTTTTTTTTTGAGACGGAGTCTCGCTCTGTCGCCCAGGCTGGAGTGCAGTGGCGCGATCTCGGCTCACTGCAAGCTCCGCCTCCCGGGTTCACGCCATTCTCCTGCCTCAGCCTCCCGAGTAGCTGGGACTACAGGCGCCCACAACCGCGCCCAGCTAATTTTTTGTATTTTTAGTAGAGACGGGGTTTCACCGTGGTCTCGATCTCCTGACCTTGTGATCCGCCCGCCTCGGCCTCCCAAAGTGCTGGGATTACAGGCGTGAGCCACCGCGCCCGGCCCTAGGTGAACCCTTTCTAGTTCTTCAAAACCCAGTAGAGGTGTTCCCTCTCCCAGAAACCTCATGCTAGGGCCAGAATTCCCTTTTCTTCCTCTAGGCTTATGGCATCCTTGACTTGTGCCTGGGTGTGGCAGGTGGCACCTAGGTTCCTGGAGAAGCTGAGGAACCCCTCCACTGAGGGCCCACAGCTGACCCGTGGTGCGTCACCTCTACTGCCCCAGTGCACAGCACCCATCCAGGCATGGCTCAAGTGTCCAGGAAATACTTGGTTAACTGAATGAAAGTGCTTTTGAAACTGTTCTGACACCCCCCGCCCACTCCCCAAGGTACCGATTTGTTATTGTAGGGTCTTCTAGTTTCAGGTGCTTCTAGAGGTTGTTTATTAAGGTAGGATCTGCCCAGAAGTTGGCAGTTTCCTCCAAGTTTCATCAGGGGTTCACTTTCCCTCTTTCTCTCTCTCCTCTTACAACCCTTTCTTCTTGACCTCCAACATCTACAGCTACAATGGGTGTCTGGCAAGTGGGGACAAGGGCCGCCGGCGAAGCCGCCTGGCACTGAGCCGCCGTCCGCATGCCAACGGAGTGAAGCCAGATGTCATGCACCACATCTCCACGCCGCTCGTCTCCAAGGCAAGCAACTGACCTATAGACCTGAGGTCCTGCCCTCCCTGCCCAAGGCCCAGGTCTTTGGCCTTCCAGGTCCTACCTGCCCACAGCCCCCCACCTTAACAGGGGAGCCCACTTTGTGTCATCACTCACTGCGTATTGGGCCACCCGAGAATGGTGATGAAAAATCCTTTGCAGTGTGCACAGTTCTTTACAGTTTGCAAAATGTTTCCTTAACTACCAGACCTTTCTGAACCTTGGCTGCCTCTAAGATGGTGCTGCTTATTTCCATCCAATGGAAATGGGTGGAAATGAGCTGCGCCATCTTAGAGGCAGCCAAGGTTCAGAGAGTGGGAGGTGACAGTCATACTGCAATGGTAAAGGAAAAAACCTTTGGCTTTAGAGGATTTGGGTTAGAATTCAGCCTCTGATATTTCCAGCTGTGTGCCTTTAGGGCAGTTTCTCTGTGACCTGCAGTTCCTTCAACTCTAAAATGGAACGATAACCCCATTCTTTTTTTTTTTTTGAGACGGAATCTCGTTGTCACCCAGGCTGGAGTGCAGTGGTGCAATCTCGGCTCACTGCAATCTCCACCTCCTGGGTTCACACCATTCTCCTGCCTCAGCCTCCCGAGTAGCTGGGACTACAGGTGCGCACCACCATGCCCAGCTAATTTTTTTTTTTTTGTATTTTTAGTAGAGACGGGGTTTTGCTATGTTGGCTAGGCTGGTCTTGAACTCCTGACCTCAAGTGATCTGCCCACCTCGGCCTCCCAAAGTGCTGGCATTACAGGCGTGAGCCACTGCGCCCGGCCTGATAACCCCATTCTTAAGGTGATTGTAGGGCTTAAATCATGTGACACACCCGCTGCACTGTCCACCCTCTGCGAAGGATGGAGCTGCCCCCTTTCTGGAGAGTGGCTGCTGGGCCTTGAGCTCCAGCTGCTGGCTCCAGGCTTACACTTATCATAGCTGCACACCCTGGCAAGTGACTTTTTTCTCCCCCCAGGCACTGAGTAACCGTGGTCAGCACAGCATCTCATACACGCTGTCCCGGAGCCACTCGGTCATAGTGGAGTATACACATGATAGCGACACAGACATGTTCCAGGTATGCTCAGGCCTCTCCACACACCTCCTGGCCACCAGGCCTCTAGGCTCTGCAAGCATTTCAGGTGAGGCTACAGGATGGGAGGCCATGGGAAAGTTGCTTCCCTCCAGACGAGGAAGCAGGATGTCCCAGTGTGGGCTGTTGACTGCAGAGTCACACAGCAAGCCAGTGGCTGTATCAAGGATCAAACTCAAGACTCCTAGACGGTGGGAGTTCACACAGCTCAGGGGTTCAGGTGTGAGAGGCCTAATGCCTGTGTTCAGATTTTGGCTCCATCACTTACCACTGGGTGACTTTGGGGAAGTATCACTTAAGTTCTGTGGGCCTTGGTTTACTCATCTGTAAAATGAGGCCCATAATAGTACCCACCCCACAGGAAGATTAACTTAGGCATTGCATATAAAATGTTTAGCATGGTGGCTGGCATATGGCAAATAGTTACTCAGAAGTTGCTATGTGCTGCTAACATTTGACCACCCTCTTATAATTCTATCAGCAAATCAACTTGTATTTATTGAATGGGGTGATCCCTAGTGCTGTGGGGGCCACAGAGAAGGAGAAGCTGCTCCAGGCAATGGCTTCTTGGACTTGGAGACCCCACCTGGGAACCTAGAAGGTCTAAGGAGTTGGTGCTGCCCCCTTCTTAGGGCCTGGCAGCCTCCTTTTTTGGTGACCTTGCATACAGAGCAGCTGCCGGAACTGTGGGTGGGGAGGCCTATGAGAGTCCCCTATGTACATGCAGTCGCTGCTTGCTTTCCCTGTCCTCACAGATTGGCCGCTCCACAGAGAACATGATTGACTTCGTGGTAACAGACACATCCCCTGGAGGAGGGGCTGCCGAGGGCCCTTCCGCCCAGAGCACCATCTCTCGCTACGCCTGCCGCATCCTCTGTGACCGCCGGCCGCCCTATACTGCCCGCATCTATGCAGCTGGCTTCGACGCCTCTAGCAACATCTTCCTTGGAGTGAGTGAGCCCCAGGAAGGGACCAACTCTTCATCTGTGAGGCAAGGGGTAGGCTTGGGAGGTGCAGCATCTTGATGTGATGAACCAGCCCACAGTAATCCAAATGATGGTCCTGGCAGGGCTTAGCAACCCCAGCTAACTGATGAGCAAAGTGAGGCCCAGAGAGACACTTAAGTCATGCAGCTTCAATGCCAGTCCTCTCTGAGCCACCTCTGAACTTGAGGGTAGGGGGGCAGTGCCTCTGGCACATAGCCTGCTGGGGGGCCCCTGGTGGATGTGATCTGATCCCTCATGTGGTCCCAGGAGCGGGCGGCCAAATGGCGGACCCCAGATGGCCTGATGGATGGACTGACCACCAATGGTGTTCTGGTGATGCACCCGGCGGGCGGCTTCTCCGAGGACTCAGCCCCAGGTGTCTGGCGGGAGATCTCGGTCTGTGGGAATGTGTACACATTGCGGGACAGCCGCTCAGCCCAGCAGCGGGGCAAGCTGGTAGGTGGCCTGCTCTATTCCCCACCCTCATCCTTGCCAGGCCCTCACAAGCTGCCCATCCCCCTGCCCAAGCCAGGAGATGATCTCTAGTCCTTCTGCCCCAGGGAGCCCCAACAGGCTCCATGTTGGGGAATCCCAGGCCCAGGGAGTTCTTAGCATGTGCCACAGACAGGCAGACAGACCAGGGTCCCCAAGCATAGCGTACATACCACTGGAGGTCCAGGGGGTGATGTGATCAAGGCACACACAGACATACTGTGCAGTCCCAGGTGGCTTCGAGGCTGCTGGCAGCTTAAAAAAAAAAATCACACCTTCTTATGAGAGTGACACTGGCCCATGTGTGAGCAGTTTATAGCCTGAAGTGTTGGCAGTTTGTAGCATGTCTGTCACATTCAGACAGGTTTAGCACTGTTCTCTCTCAGGAGGAAAGGGTCCTTACAGTAGTTCTGACACAGGTGTTAGTGGCAACTCCTTGTGGTGCAGATCAGAGAGCTGAGGTTAGGGAGCCCAGAGTGAGTCCTAGAGAGAGGCAGGGGCTGCCCAAGGTCACATGGCCATGCTCCTCAAACGGGCCATGCGTTGCTCTTCAGGCATGAGCACATTGTCCAAGGAGATGCAAAACCTCAGAGAAAAGCATGGCTTTTCTTTGCAGAGCGTCAACTCTGTGGGGAGGTCTGGGGAAGCATTGTTTGGTAAAATGATGCATGTGAATGTTTCACAAGCCTACTCTTCTTAAGCACTATTTGCCACACACTGTTCTAAGTTTTTACACTGAATGATTCATTTATTTATTTTTTTTTAATTTTTTTTTGAGATGGAGTCTCACTCTGTCACCCAGGCTGGATTGCAATGGCACAATCTCAGCTCACTGCAACCTCCACCTCCTGGGTTCAAGTGATCCTCCTGCCTCAGCCTCTCAAGTAGCTAGGACTACAGGCATGAGCCACCACACCCGGCTAACTTTTTGTATTTTTAGTAGACATGGGGTTTCACCATGTTGGCCAGGCTAGTCTGGAACTCCTGACCTCAGGTGATCCACCCGCCTCAACCTCCTAAAGTGCTGGGATTACAGGCGTGAGCTACCGCGCCCGGCCTGATTGATTCATTTAATCTTCACGAGAACCACTTGAGATGCCAGAAGGTGCAGTCCATCTTGAGGATGAGGAAACTGAGATGGAGAGAGGTTAAGTTACTTGACCAGGGACAAAGTTAGTCAATGGTAAGGCCAGAATTCAGCCTGGGCAGCCTAGCTCCTGAGTTTTTGCTTTTAACTGTAACTACTGGGATAGTTGCTTTGGGCTAAGTACCCAGCATTCCCTGTTAGCTTTGAGCTAAGTACCCAGCATTCCTTGTTAGAGGCCTTTCCTGCCTCTGTCAGGAGGAGGGCACTTCAGAAAACATCTTATTTTAGAAAAACCCTGTCTGGGTTCAGACTCCCTGATTAGACAGATGGAGAAACCAAGGCCCATGCCCCGCTGGGAGGGGGGGTCAGCATGTGCCTGGGGTGCACCTGCCCGTTCGTTTGGCCTCCCAGCCTGCCTTGCCCCTCTGCCCTGCCTGCCCTGCCAGCCAGGGTGTCCTCTCCAGGGAGGCTCCGTGGGATGGACCCGTGGCTCAGCGGGGGCCTCTTGGGCAGTAAGGCCCTTCTACTGCCTCTGGCAGGTGGAAAACGAGTCCAACGTGCTGCAGGACGGCTCTCTCATCGACCTGTGTGGGGCCACACTGCTGTGGCGCACACCGGCGGGGCTGCTGCGGGCTCCAACACTGAAGCAACTGGAGGCCCAGCGGCAGGAGGCAAATGCAGCGCGGCCCCAGTGCCCCGTGGGCCTCAGCACTCTGGCCTTCCCCAGCCCAGCCCGTGGCCGCACAGCACCCGACAAACAGCAGCCATGGGTCTACGTCCGCTGCGGGCACGTCCACGGCTACCACGGCTGGGGCTGCCGGCGGGAGCGGGGCCCCCAGGAGCGCGAATGTCCTCTCTGCCGTCTCGTGGGGCCTTATGTGCCTCTATGGCTTGGCCAGGAGGCCGGCCTCTGCCTGGACCCTGGGCCGCCTAGCCATGCCTTTGCACCTTGTGGCCACGTCTGCTCTGAGAAGACTGCCCGCTACTGGGCCCAGACACCACTGCCCCACGGCACCCACGCTTTCCATGCCGCCTGCCCCTTTTGCGGGGCCTGGCTTACTGGCGAGCATGGCTGCGTCCGCCTCATTTTCCAGGGCCCACTGGATTAGGCTCCCTGGGGCCCCCTGCTGCTGTGCCCACCTGCCCACCCAGGTCCCCACCTCCTGCAGCCCAGAGGGAGCTCTGCATGTGGGACACTCCCTGCTGGCACAGCCACACCAGATGGACATGTTGGATGGGCTGTGCCCTTCCCCCCAACTGTGGCCCCCCAAGGAGGTCCCCAAGATCTCCACCCCAGTCATGCTGATGGGGCCTTCAGAACCAGTTCTGTCCTGGGTCGATGGAGGAAAGCCCAGCCCCATGGCCTTGCCCTTCCTGGGGCATCCCACATCGTGCCGCTGACACTGTGTGCCCCTGGGGGAGTGAAGGGGCCAGGGGCCCCTGACCCCTAGCTTAGGCTGGCTATGCCCTGAGCCTGCCAACCCAGTTTCAGACACTCATCCTTCCTGCTGCCACCCTGGGTTCCTCTATAAACCTCGCTGCTCAGCTGCCGCCACAAGTCCCATGTGCCCCGCATGCGTGTAATGCCTCCAGCCCCCAAGTGAGTGGTGGGTGGGTGGCAGGCTGGGCCCAGCATTTGCTGACAGCCACTATGGGCTGGACTCTGTGCTAAGTGGTCTCTGGGGACACAGAGGCAATCAGACCTGGTTCCCCGCCTGGCGGAGTTCACAGTCTAGTGGAGGACAGACTGTTACCAAATGGCAACACGCTTCATGTGTGCTAGGATCAGAGTACGAATCAGGCTGTAGCAGGCCTCACTGGTAATGGAAAGGTGAGGGAGGCTTCACGGAGGAGTTGTCATAGGAGCTCAGCCTCGATGGCTGCTCGGAACCCTTGGGGTCCACAAGATGGGAAGCGTGGTCTATGCAGAAGGGAGGGCCTGTGCGTAGGCTCAGGTGTCAGTAAGCCAGGAATCCAGGGACATTGTCAGGGTGGCTGGAACATGGACTGCTGGGGGACAGAGAAGGGGGTGGAGCAAAAGGTTGGGACCATGTGACCAGGGAAGATGCTGGATGGAGGATTCTGAACCTCATTTGTGGATGGTCAGGAGTCAACAAAGGGAAGAGAGAGGATTCACTGGTCAAGAGTGTGTCGGCTGTGACACAAGGGCCATCATCCCTGAATGCCCACCACGTGCCCCGCACTGTGCTGATGATGATAATAATAACTACGTCCATTGAGCACTCTCCAGACACCTGGCTCTGCTTCTTGGAGGTTTTGTTATTTAATCCTCACAGTAACCCAAGAAGGGAGGTGTTGCCATTTGTGTCTCTGAGGAGATGAGGGCAGATGCACCAAGTCACACAACTAGAAAGTGGCCAAGTCAGGATTTGAATCCACAGCTGCTCCTCTCCATCACAGTGTTGCTTTCCTTCAACAGAGGTGGGGGTGAACCGAGCAGGGTTTTGGATACTGGATTGGTGGACACCCACCTGCTTTGTGCCCAGCCCTGTGCCTCTCGCAGCCCAAGGTCTGCAGAGGGACCTACCCATGCTTGTTGGAAGTTGACCCCCACACCTGTGCTGGCCACCTGTACCCCAGGCTAGGATGCAATGGGCTATCAGCCAGGCTAGAAGTGTTCGGAGGAGTGAGAACCAGGGGCTCTAGAAGGCCCAGGGAGGACCTGAAGCCTGAGTCAAGTCTTGAATGGCAGAGCATCTCTAGAGGCAGGGAGGAGTTGGGAGGGCAGCCAAGGTGAGGGGAACAGCATGGCATGGCAGGGAACATGCCTGGTGTGGAGGGGGGCAAGCAAAAAGGAATGGGGGGTAGGGAAGGTTGCTGAGGCCTGGTGGGCCTTGATTGCCATGGAAGCCAAGCCTGAACTGGATTCCTGGTCATCCTGGCCACAGGTGGGCGTGTTGCTGGGGTTGCCCCAGACCATTCCTGGGGAGAGCAAGCCAGGAAGACAAGTAGATGGCTGTTCTGGAGAGGAAGAGAAGAAGGCTCTGAGTATAGACCTGACCTGGGCATCGTCCCCAGTAGATGGCAGAGCCTAGGGGAGTACAGATTCCAAGGGGAGGGATGGACCTGCCCAAGGTCACACAGCTGGTTGAGACCGGGGAGATCAGACCTGGGCTGTTGAGAAGACAGACGGCACCCGCATGTTATGAGGAGGAGGGTGTGGTCAGATTCTTGCTTCCAGAGCATGGCACTGCTGCAGTGGGGGCGGAGGGGAGGGTGGGGATGCTGCAGGAGGTGTGGGAGCATTCCAACTTCTCTCCCCTCAACATACAACACACAACACTCAAAATCCAACTCAGAATTTCAAGTTCTCTCTTCTGATCCTGTTGGGAACCAGGCAGGGGAACATTTTTTTTTTTTTGAGACCAAGTCTCGCTCTGTCACCCAGGTTGGAGTGCAGTGGTGTGATCTTGGCTCACTGCGAGCTCCGCCTCCCGGGTTCACGCCATTCTCCTGGCTCAGCCTCCTGAGTAGCTGGGACTACAGGCGCCCGCCACCACGCCCGGCTAATTTTTTGTATTTTTAGTAGAGATGGGGTTTCACTGTGTTAGCCAAGATGGTCTCGATCTCCTGACCTCATGATCCGCCCACCTCGGCCTCCCAAAGTGCTGGGATTACAGGCTTGAGCCACCGCGCCTGGCCTAGGCAGGGGAACATACTGATCCCATTTCCAGTGGGGAACCTCAGACCCTAGGAGGAGAGACCAGCAAAGGGCACCACCCTAGATGCTGGGGAGGACTCAGAGGTATTGGTGGATGGGGTCAGACAGCCCTGGTCTTGTCCCAGCTCTGCCTTTGCCAGCTCTTAGAGCCTCAGCTTCCTCAATGCTAAAGGGGATAACAGTCACTACCTCACCAGGTGGTTGTGAATATATGGAGGGCACCGGTAACACAGTTGATTCGTGTTGCCCCTCACCGACCCCTTTTTCATTCCCATGGGGAACAGCCAAGGCCGGGGAGTTATGACTCCAGTGATAGACTGCTCCATGTGAGTGACTGTGTGTGTGTATCTGTGTGTTGGGGTCAGGGACACCTGAACTGTGTGGTGTTATAGGAGTCAGTGAACCTCTTAGCCTCAGTTTCCCTATCTGTACAATGGGTAAAGTGATGATACCTCAGGATTTTTGCAAGAATTAAATGACGTCCTCCATGCCAAACTGGTAGCAAGGGACCTCAGGACATGCTCATGTTATCTGTGATCATAAAAATGTGATCACGTAGCTTGGTTGGGGGTTCCGAGAGTACTGGGATCTTTTCCTCGCCTGAGCTGTCCCCTGCTGGCAGTGGACAGCACTACCTCCCTTACTTGTGCACATTTCAACTTCACCTGTCAGCCAACACTATACCCATTTTAAAGACAATGAAAATGGAGGCAAAGGAAAGAAGGGTGACTTTCCTGAGGACACTGACCAACTTGTTGAACTCCATATAACAAGTCATCATCAAAGCTAACAGCTTGTAACACTTGTGTCAAGCAGGGCCTTGGGCACCTTTGCGGATGAGAAACTGGTGTCTATGGTAAGCAGATGCTGCCTGGCCTAGACACAGGCGTGGCAAGGAGACTGTGTGGGACTTCAGTACCCAAACGCCCCTCACCCTGCGCCAACTATAGGGAGCGGCACTGCAGCCAACACATCACAACTTACAATATCCCTTGGATTGGATTCAATTATTAGCCTGGTTTTCCAGTTCATAAAGCCAAGACTCCCAGACAACCTCGCTCCACCCACAGTCTGACCCTGGGCCCTCACCACTACTCCCCATTCGGCCTAGGCCCTTCCACATGCCCCACCCAGACCGTGGTTTTGTGAGTCCGTCCAGACCTGTAAAAGTGGACTGCAGGCCCGCCTCTGCTCTGGACTCCCTTTCGGGGCTGCAGGAGGCTTTCTGATCCATCAGGCATCTGACAAGCCCCAGGAAACTGCCAGCCTGTTTGTGCTAAGGAAACTGAGGCTCGGGAATGTTTAGCGGCTGCTTCCAGGCCCGTGGCGGGTGAGTGGTGGTACAGTGAAGCACTCGAGGCGTTTCTCCGCGCCCCAACACGAGTGAGACCACCTCAGCCCTGGCCCGAGCCCACTCGACCGTAGCCTCGATTCCCGGCACCGAGAGCTTTGCAACTTCCAAGTCTCCACTCCCAGGCCCCGAGTCCCGAGAGTCAGGGGGAGCCACATTACTCCTATTGTGTAGGTTCCCACCTGCAAGAGTAAGGTTGGGGTCGCTGGGGTGAAACGCCAAAGGAAAGCGGGATCGGGACTGAGGGAGGGGGATTCCCAAGTCCCTGACACCAGCGCCGGGTCAGCCTGGGCTTGGTGACCTCGTCAGTCCCGTCTGCCGGGACTAGGCCGCGGCCAGGCCGGGCACAGAAGCACCCGGTCCGGCGCGTGTGCGGCCTGCAGACAAAAGGCCAAGCCCGCAGGGCCAATCCGCGCACCACCCCGTAGCGACTGGGGGCGGGAGCCGGAGAGCCGAGAAGCTTGTCTCGGCGCGTCTATTGGCTGGTATTGACGCCCATCCGGACCCCGAGGCCAGGCAGTTGGCCAAGGGGGGCGGGGTTTGTAGAGCCCCAATGAATGGGGGAGCCGGAAGCAGGAAGTGAATTTGGGAACGGAGCAGCTGCTGCAGGTGAGGCGCGGCGCCTGGGTTTTGGGGATCCCAGTGTGTCATTCCGGGGGACCAAGGCGAATCTGTACTGAGCGCAAAATCATTCCCTTTCTGCCCACTCTCCTGTACCTCCTCCAAATTCACCCCGCCCTCGAGGCCAAGGAGCGCTCCGGGGAGCAAAGAGTTAACAGCCCTTTCCGAATCTTGAGGCTGTGCTATTGGGGCGGAGCTTCTGGAGTCCGGGACAGGCGGGGAGGCTGGAAACTGTCCCAGCCGGGAAGGGGCGTGGCGGGGAGAAGGCCCCGGGTTGGGGAATCCCCGGGTTCCAACAGGGCTGTCAGACCTTCAGTAAATTGTTGGCCTTTCCAAGCCTCAGTTTCCCTATCTGTAAAATGGGTTTTCTTCTGGTTGTAACTTCCTGTTGTAACTTCTGTGGCTTCCCTGGAGGAGCACAGGAAGAGAGCAGGAGAATGGAGGGCCGAGGGATGAGAATGGGACAAGTGCAAGGAAAATAATCATTTATTGCTGTGGATATTTTCCGTCCAGGCGACCTCATCTGATTAGCGCACCCACCTGGTAATACTGAGGTTATTCCCTCTTTTACAGAGGAGGAAACGGAGGTGCAGAAAAGTAAAGCAATGGAAGTCTGGGGCCTAGTCCTGGCTAAAGGCCGAGCCTTCCAGCTGGCGGCCTGGAACTTTATCCTTGTGAGCCCAGTGGAAAGTGTGAAGAATTCTGAACAAAGGCCAGGCGCGGCACCTGTAATCTCAGCACTTGGGAGGCCGAGGCAAGCGGATTTGAGGCCAGGAGTTCGAGACCAGCCTGGACAAAATAGCGAGACACCCCCCCCCGCCTCCCCGTCTCTACCCAAAATGCAAAAAATTAGCTGGGCGTGGTGATGCACGCCTGTAGTCCCAGCTACTTTGGAGGCTGAGGCAGGAGAATCACTTGAACTCGGGAGGCGGAGGTTACTGTGAGTCAGGATCATGCCACTGCACTTCAGCCTGGGCAACAAAGTGAGACTCCATCTCAATAAAAGACTACTGAACAAGGAAGCAGGGAGGGGCCTCATCTCCAGATGAGGATCTCTGCTGCTGATGTCTCCATTGTGGGATTAGGCAAGGCTCTGAGCCTGAGCCTCGGTTTCCCCATCTGTAATACTAGGTAGTTAGGTCAATCTTTTTTTTTTTTTTTTTTTTTGAGATGGAGTCTCACCCTGTCACCCAGGCTGGAGTGCAATGGTACGAGGCTCACTGCAGCCTCCGCCTCCTGGGTTCAAGTGATTCTCCTGCCTCAGCCTTCCCAGTAGCTGAGATTACAGGCGCCCGTCACCACACCTGGCTAATTTTTGTATTTTTAGTAGAGAGGAGGTTTCACCACATTGATCAGGCTGGTCTTGAACTCTTGACCTCAGGTGATCCACCCACCTCGGCCTCCCAAAGTGCTAGGATTACAGGTGTGAGCCTCTGTGCCTGACCTTAGAATCAATCTTTAACGTTTAGGGACTACAGGCCAAATATGGTACACCAGTGTATTTTGTGACCCCTTGGGTGAGTCATCTGACCTCTGAGCCTCAGTTAGCATATCTGGTGAATGGATACAATAATATTCCCTTCCATGTGGGCTTTTGGGAGGATTAAATGAGATTATAAGAGTTCAGAGCCAGGTATGCAATTGATATGGGGTAAACAACAGCTGTGATGACAGTGATGGTTCTCAGCAGGGCCCATGGCGGACACCCAGTACATCCTGCCCAATGACATCGGCGTGTCTAGCCTGGACTGCCGTGAGGCCTTCCGCCTGCTGTCACCCACAGAGCGCCTCTATGCCCACCACCTGTCCCGTGCTGCCTGGTATGGAGGCCTGGCTGTGCTGCTTCAGACCTCCCCCGAGGCCCCTTACATCTATGCTCTGCTCAGCCGCCTCTTCCGCGCACAGGACCCCGACCAGCTGCGCCAACATGCCCTGGCTGAGGGCCTTACCGAGGAGGAGTATCAGGTTAGTTCCCTTGGGCCAACCTGCGTTTCCTGAGTGGCTTCTGGGTGTGAAAGACCAGGATGCAAATGTCTGTCTCTTTCAAGGGGTAGGTGGAGGATTAGACCAAAGGTTACAAATTCAGGCACTTCCCCTCTCTGGAGCCTCAGTCTTCTCATCTGTAAAATATGCATGTGGGATGTCTGTACCGCTTAGTGTTGTGATGACCCACTTAGAACAGTGCCTGACTTCAAGATAAATGATAGCTGCTGTGATCATAACAAAAGAAACTGTGGTGGAGATTCAGGGAAGGAGAGGAAAGAGTCCAGAGTAGGTATCAGGAGGTCTGAATTCAGGACCAGTTCTTCTCTACCACACTATGTGGCCCTGGGCAGAATGTTCTGCCTGTCCCTTGGTTTTTGTTTTTGGACATATCGGCCAGGTAATACACGAATTCTTAGTGCATTGCAGCAATGCAGAAAGACACAAAAAACACAAAGATCACTCATTCTGTGCCCTCCTCAGAGGTAACCCACTGAGGCTGGTACAGCCTTTTCTTTCTCTCCTTTTTTTTTTTTTTTTTTTGTGTCAGAGTCTTAGTCTGTCACCCAGCCTGGAGTGCAGTGGTGCAGTCTTGGCTCACTGCAAACCTCCACCTCCCAGGTTCAAGCATTTCTCATGCCTCAGCCTCCCAAGTAGCTAGAACTACAGGTATGTGCCACCACGCCGGGCTAATTTTTGTATTTTTAGTAGAGATGGGTTTTCACCATGTTGCCCAGGCTGGTCTTGAACTCCTGGCCTCAAGTGATCCACTTGCCTTACCCTCCCAAAGTGCTGGGATTACAGGCGTGAACCACCGTGCCTGGTCTTGGTTACAGCCTTTTCAATCCCGTCTGTGTATTACATACCTATATGTGTATATGCATGGTGAATCAGTTCCTTATTTTCTCTTTTATAGAAATGAGATGATGTTCTTTTCCTGCTTTGTGTCCTGCTTTTTCCATTGAATGCCATGTCTTGGAGAACTTGGAGAATGGGATACATTTAAATGTACCTCATTCTTTTTTTTTTTTTTTTTTGAGACGGAGTCTCGCTCTGTCACCCAGGCTGGAGTGCAGTGGCCGGATCTCAGCTCACTGCAAGCTCCGCCTCCCGGGTTCACGCCATTCTCCGGCCTCAGCCTCCCAAGTAGCTGGGACTACAGGCGGCCGCCAACTCGCCCGGCTAGTTTTTTGTATTTCTTAATAGAGACGGGGTTTCACCGTGTTAGCCAGGATGGTCTCGATCTCCTGACCTCGTGATCCGCCCGTCTCAGCCTCCCAAAGTGCTGGGATTACAGGCTTGAGCCACTGCGCCCGGCCTCATTCTTTATTATTGACTGTGAAGTATTCCACAGCAGTGTACACTATAATCAATTTAATCTTTATTTCTGGACATTTAGCTTGTCCCGTTTTTCTTACAAACAGTGCCATGGTGAGCATACTTGCGCATACATGTGAGGGGGATCTGTTTCTAGAAGGAGAACTGCTGGGTCAAGGGCTCTATACATTTACAATTGACTGATTCTGTTAAATCATCTTCTAAAAAACTTTCACTGCATTATATTCCCATCAAGAATGTACAAGAATATGGCCTGTTTTTCTATATGGGAAATAAAGGGATTGGATTGTTTCTCTCTGAGCTGACGTGCTGTTTATTCTACCTCTTTTGAAGTCTGGGCATGCACTTCCCATCTTGGGTATGGCTTACTCATTAAAAGAGCTAATATCTGTGGAAATATTTATAAACGGAAAGGTGCAACTCAAGCATTACTATTTTCAGGGAAATTCTTTTTTTTTTTTTTTTTTTTTTGAGACAGTCTTGCTCTGTCACTAGGCTGGAGTGCAGTGGCACAGTCTTGGCTCACTGCAACCTCCAACTCCCTGGTTCAAGCGATTCTCCTGCCTCAGCCTCCAGAGTAACTGGTATTACAGGCATGCACCACCACACCCAGCTAATTTTTGTATTTTTAGTAGAGACAGGGTTTCACCATGTTGGCCAGGATGGTCTCAATCTCCTGACCTCGTGATCTGCCCGCCTCGGCCTCCCAGAGTGCTTGGGATTACAGGCGTGGGTGCCAGCCATTCAGGGAAATTCATGTTTGCAAGTGGCAGAAACCCAGCTCAAATTGGCTTACGTGAAAAGGAGAATTGTTGGGTCACATGATTGAAAAGTCCAGGTCTAGAGGAAGTTTCAGGCATGGCTGGACTCAGGGACTCAGTGCTACCACTGCGATGCAGTCTTCATCTCTCAGCTTGCTTGCTTTTCTTGCTCCCGGAGGGGGAGCTCCAGGGGTTCCAGGCCTGATGATACCTGTTGTACACAGGCTCTTTGCCAATGGGAAATGTCCTGGGTAGCGCTCTTATGCCAGCTTGAGCCTTGTGCCCATCCTGTAGCCAAGGATGGTGGTTTCTCAGACTGGCCAAGCCAGCTTACATGCCCAACCCTGGGGCTGGGGGAAGGGAGATCCCCCACCCTCCCACCCACAAAAGGAGGATTGAGGTCTTGTTACCAGAGGAAGATCTGGGGCCAGCAGAAGCCATAGAATAGATAGATGATTAAGGCCCCTCTGGCTCTAACATGTGATGCTTCCGAGGCCAGCTGCCTGACAGGTCAGAGGCTGAGGACAGGCTCCCAGGAGAAAGAGGGAGGTGGTGCTGGAACTGGGCCTTAAAGGACACAGTAGTCTCAGGTGGCTGAGAGAGTGCTGGGGTGGAGAGGGCAAAGGCAGACGAACACTTGGGTGTGTTTGGGAACTGCCCAGAAGATCAGTTAGGCCAGACAGCGGGGGTGTGAAAATGGGTCTGTGAAAGTGAGTGTGGGCCAGACTGGGGCTTCCCAGGACCTGGCTCCTGCCCGCACATTTTCCAGCCTCATCCACACTGGCTCTGCTGGGGCATTCGCATCTCAGGAGGGGGTGTTGCTGGGGTCAGGGAGGCTGTGCTTCCTGGGTCTCTGATGCCTGTCTCCCCCCTCAGGCGTTCCTGGTCTATGCCGCGGGTGTTTACTCCAACATGGGCAACTACAAGTCCTTTGGTGACACCAAGTTTGTTCCCAACTTGCCCAAGGTGAGCCAAAGGAGGGCTGGGGAAGGTGGGGATGGGGGCTGGTGGGGTAGGGGTGGAGAATGCAGTAGAAGGAGCCCCAACTGGAGTGTCAGAAGCCCTGAGCAGAACATGGACCCTGTTGCTGCCACCCTGCATGACTGTGAGTGTCACCAACCTCACTGGGTGCCGCGGCCTCTTCGTGTGTAAAGGAAAAGCACAGCTCTCCCTGACTGCTGATCTGCAGGCCGAACAAGGGCGAGATGTGGAAGTGTTCTGTGAACTTTCAGGTGCTCTCAAAAATGGAGCTTGTTGGTCATCACCAGGAACAGTGGGAAATACGGGGCTGGGGGCATCCCTCCCAGGATTATGAGGCTTGAGCCTATCTAGGGCAGAGGTGGTTCTTACAGCAGGTATAAGAGCTGGGACTTTAACACGCATACAAGTCACTTGGCGGTCATGCTGCCATGTGGCATCTGATTCAGCAGGTCTGTGGTGGACCCAAGATTTGACATTTTTGCTTTGAGACAGGGTCTTGCTCTGTCGCCCAAGCTGAAGTGCAGTGGTGTGATCATGACTCACTTCAGCATCAACCTCCTGGACTCAAGTGGTCCTCCTGGCTTAGCCTCCCAAGTAGTTGGGAATATGGGTGTGCAGCACCACACCAACTAAATTTTCTTTTCTTTTTTTGAGATAGGGTCTCACTCTGTCACTTAGGCTGGAGGGCAGTGGCACAGATACAGCTCACTGCAACCTCAACTTCCTAGGCTCAAGTGATCCTCCTCAGCTTCCAGAGTAGCTGGTACCACAGATGCCTGCCACTGTGATGCTTGGCTAATTTTTTAAAATTGTTTGTAGTGACAGAATGCCACTGTGTTACCCAAGCTGGTCTTGAACTCCTGGACTCAAGCAATTCTCACACATTGGCCTCCCAAAATGCTAGGATTACAGGCATGAGCCGCTGCGTCTGGCCTTTATTCTTTGTAGAGATGGGGGTCTGTCTATGTTGCCCAGGCTTGTCTTGAACTCCTGGCCTCAAGTATCTCTCCCTCCTCTGCCTCCCAAAGTGCTGGGATTATAGGCATGAGCCACCACACATGGAGGCTTGACATTTCTCAGGCCCTGCCAGTGCTGCTGGTCCATGGACCACACAGTGAGCCAAAGCTCTTAGACCATGGGAGAAGAGCTTAGGAGTGGATAGGGAGGCTCTGGAAGGCAGGTTTGGGTGGTGTGACTGGGCCATTGGCTTCCCTTTCCCTGTAGGAAAAGCTGGAACAGGTGATCCTAGGGAGTGAGGCTGCTCAGCAGCACCCCGAAGAAGTCAGGGGCCTCTGGCAGACCTGTGGGGAGCTTATGTTCTCTCTGGAGCCAAGGCTTCGACACCTCGGACTGGGGAAAGAGGTGAGGCCCCTGACTCCCCCGAGGGGACGGGGTAGAGGGAATTCTTTGAGGCCACCTGGTAAGGAGGGAAGGAAAGGGGATGGGGAGGCAGTGGGCTCTGCCTCACACTCCTGAGGCAATGCTGCTCCCCACTGCAGGCCTCAGTTTTGTCATCTGTAGAATGGTAAGCAGGTTGGGTCAAATGCTTTCTGAATGCCCTCCCAGATCTGACATTCTGCACACAGGATGCCATGTGCTGATGGAGGGAAGGAGAGGAAGCCTGGAGGTGGAGGGAGCTGAGGAGGGGACAGCAGGGAAGGAGGGGGGTCCCAGGTTTCCCACCTCTGGAGGCCGCATCCATTGCATGGGACGAGGACCTTGGGAAGCCTTAGGGGTGGGCCAGCCTGAGAGAGGCACGGGCAGGGCTGCAGGAATGCTGGAAATGAGCATCTGTTTGTTTTATAACTTTTTCCCCGGAAGTAGATGGAGGGGTAAGTGGTAGACGCTGCTGGAAGGAGGGAGGGGCAGGAAGCCTGGGAAGATGACGTCCCTGCAGCACTGACCTCGGCACCTCCTCTTTCTCCTGTCCCCTCTCTTCCCCAACAGGGAATCACCACCTATTTCTCTGGGAATTGTACCATGGAAGATGCCAAATTGGCCCAGGACTTTCTGGACTCACAGGTTTGGGGTTAGGGGAGCTCAAGGTAGCAGAGGTTTGGTGGAGTTCCTAGTCCCAGCCCCTCACAACTGGTGACCACTCCTGGGTCTCTGCTTGACTACTCCCTGCTAACTAGGGAAGGTACACCCCTGCCCACCCCAGGCTATAGAGCCTAATGACAGCCTCAGGGCTGGGCGAGGAACCAGGACCTCAGGCCACAGGGGTGTGAGGCTCTGGGGTCCACGTGTCAGTGGAGCTCCCAGCTTAGCCACTCACCAGCCATGTGATCAGTTTCCATGTCTGTGAAGTGGTACCCACCTCCGGTAGCCCTGGGTTCGCAGAGGCCATGCAGTGCCTGGCATAGTGGTTGGAGTCAGTGCTTAGTAGAAGTGCACAGTGTCCCGAGCAGAGCAGGAGAGTCGGCCCTGGGCTGCCCACTCCCACTCTCTCCCGCTTCTCCCAGCCAACCTGGAAGGCCCAGCCTGCTTTGCCTCCATGCCTTCTCCCCGGGGGGTGACCCATTTTCCTTCCTCCCACCCCACTGGCCTCTCCAGACCTCACTCTCAACCCCTGCCCTGGTCTCTTCTAGAACCTCAGTGCCTATAACACCCGGCTCTTCAAAGAGGTCGATGGAGAAGGGAAGCCCCACTACGAGGTGCGGCTGGCTTCTGTGCTTGGCTCAGGTGAGCTTAGCCCCAGGCTTCCCTTCTGCTCCCTCCCAGGCATTTCTGGACCTGGGTGGCTCAGGTCCTGCCATCCCTGCCACTCCCACACAAAGAGGATCCTTCTCTCCCAGGAGTTTCTACATAAGGCCTGGGAATGGCTCTAGTTTCTCTGTATCAGTCCCCTATTTGTCTGTGAACCAATCCCTGAGGGCTGGCAAGGGACAGGTCTCTGATTGGCTCAACCTGGTCTCAAGCCTACTCTGGAGTCAGGCGATGAGGTTGGCCCTTCAGGCCAGGCGTGGCAGCTCACACCTGTAATCCCAGCACTTTGGGAGGCTGAGGCAGGTGAATCACCTAAGGTTGGGAGTTTGAGACCAGCCTGGCCAACATGGTGAAACACCGTCTCTACTAAAAATATAGAAATTAGCCAGGCATGGTGGCATGTGCCTGTAATTCCAGCTACTTGGGAGTCTGAGGCAGGAGAATCGCTTGAACCCAGGAGGCAGAGGTTGCAGTGAACCAAGATCTCACCACTGCACTCCAGCCTGGGTGACAGAGCAAAGCTCCAGGTCAAAAAAAAAAAAAAAAGAGGCTGGCCCTTTCCAAACCAACTGCACTTGGGGTAGTAGTAGTGGGACCTGGGGTGATATTCTCAAGGGGAAATTGGGATCCATTCCCAGGAGAGAGGAAATAGTGTGGACAGAAGTGTCCAGGCCTTTATGAAGACTTTTGCCACCTGGCTCTTTTTTCCCCACCTGCACCCCAGCCCCTGCTTCATCTCCATATCCTCCCACTCAGACTCTGTGCTCTGGCCATGCTCAACAGCATCCAGTTCTCACGGACCCTCTCTAGGTCTTTTGTTTTTGTTTTTGTTTTTGTTTTTTGAGACAGAGTCTCGCTGTATCGCCCAGGTTGGAGTGCCCAGGCTAGAGTGCAGTGGTGCGACCTTGGTTCACTGCAACCTCTGCCTCCTGGGTTCAAGCGATTCTCCTGCCTCAGCCTCCAGAGTAGCTGGAATTGCAGGCGCCCATCACCACACCTGGCTAATTTTTGTATTTTTAGTAGAGACGAGGTTTCGCCATTTGGCCATGCTGGTCCTAAACTCCTGACCTCAGGTGATCCGCCTGCCTCTCGGCCTCCCAATGTGCTGGATTATAGGCATGAGCCACCGCGCCTGGCCCCTGTCCAGGTCTTTGCACAATCTATTCCCCACTACCCATGCGGAACCCCCTCCAGCCTCTCTTTGTCCCCTGGCCACCTCCTCCCCATGCTCTAGGCCATGCATGGACATTGCCTTCCCCAGGACCTTTCCCCATCTTCCCATAACTAAGTCCATGCCCTTCTCTCTTCCCATTGCCACACTCAGTAGCTCTCCTGACTACAAGCTCTGCAAGAGAAGGGCCTGTGTGTTTCATCCACTGTTGTCTCCCCGGTGCCCAGCGCTTGGTGGATCTGAGCTTCCACCGGGGAGATGATGGCAGATGTGGGTTCAGAGGAACAGGAGTTGATCTCACTGGAATATAAGCTGGGCTTATACTTACAGTACAGGATGCAGTGTCAGGCAGTGGTTGAATGTGGCCCTGGAGCCGGGCTGCCTGAGTGGGTCATTATCTATTGCTGTGGAACAAATGCTCCCCAAATGTAGTGATACAAAACCGCCTTTTCATGCTCACGGACACTGGGTCAGGAATGCAGGTAGAGCACAGTAGGAACAGCCGGTTGCTGGGTGACCGTGTCTGGGGCCTCAGCTGGGAAGACTCGACAGCTTGGGGCCACAAGCATCCCCAGGCTTATTGGCTCACACGCAGGTGCTGGCTGCCGGCTGGAACCCAGCTGCGCTGTTGACTAAAATACATCACATGGCACCCTCCTATTGTTTGTGGTAGCTGGGCTCCCAGAGTGAGCCTCCCAGGAGAGCCAGGCGGAAGCCTGCTCACCTTGTGTGACCTGGCCTCAGCACATGGTGTCCCTGCTGCTGAAGTCACAGCCTTCCTGGCTTCAGGAGGAGGGAACACATCCCACGTCTCCATGGGCAAAGTCACAGTTGAGCTGGACATGATGGCTCATACCTGTAATCCCAGCTATTCAGGAGGCTGAGCCAGGAGGATCGCTTGAGCCCAGCAGTCTGAGATCAGCTGGGCAACCTTGCAAGATCCTATCTCAAATTAAAAAAAAAAAAAAAAGGTGTAAGACAGGAAATGTTGTGGCTGTTTTTGCTCGTTTGTTTGTTTTTACATAGCCTTGAAGTATATTTTATTGATCAGAGACAACAAGGAAAATACAATAGTGTGTAAACATCCCATTGCTTCTGTAACAAATTGCCACAAATTTAGTGGCACAAAACAACATGAACTTATTACAGTTGCAGGGGTCCAGAGTCTAAAAGCAAGGCTGGGCCGCATTCATTTTGGAGTCTCAGGAGGAACCTGCCCCCGCTTGCCTTTTCCAGCTTCTGGAAGGCTGCCCAGCCCCCCCAACTTCACTCCAGCTCCCTTCTGCTATCGTCACAGCTCCTTTTCCCAGCCACCCTCTTGTCTCCCCGTGGGACTGTTGATTACGTTTGGGATGTGACTGTCTTTTTAAATCCAATCTGCTACTTGCTGTCCACGTAAGCTCTCGATGCCTTAGTTTCCCATCAGTGAAATGGAGATGATAATTTCTGCCTCCCCCCAGAGTTAGAGTGAGGCTTAAAGGAGTTAACACATGGAAAGCACATGTTATGTGATACATATATTTTTGTTTTTTAGTTTTTGGGTTTTTTTGTTTTCATTTTTGTGTTTGTTTTTTTGGGCTGGAGTCTCTCTCTGTTGCCCAGGCTGGAGTGCAGCAGCGCGATCTCAGCTCACTGCAACCTGTGTCTCCTGGCTTCAAGCGATTTTCCTGCTTCAGCCTCCTGAGTAGCTGGGATTACAGGTGCCTGCCACCACGCCCAGCTAATTTTGTATTTTGAGTAGAGACGGGATTTCACCATGTTGGCCAGACTGGTCATGAACTCCAGACCTCAGGCGATCTGCCCGCCTCGGCCTCCCAAAGTGCTGGGATTACAGGTGTGAGCCACCGTGCCCGGCTGATATATATATTTTGGAAGACGAGAGTTTATACTCATGTCTGTTGGCTACAGGGAGCCATTGAAGATCTTAGAGTGAAAGAGTGCTACGGGGAAAAGCTGACGGAGGTGTCTTACTCCGGCCTTTTCTCTGAGTGACACCTTCTTTCCCCAGAGCCTTCCCTGGACTCTGAGATGACTTCCAAGCTGAAGAGCTATGAATTCCGGGGAAGCCCTTTCCAGGTGACCCGAGGGGACTATGCGCCCATCCTCCAGAAGGTGGTGGAGCAGCTGGAGAAAGCCAAGGTTGGACTGGCTGGGGACTGAGGTGTGCGGGCTGAGGACCCCTCTGGGCAGCAAAGCTGGTGTGGAGGTGGGTTGACCTCACACAAGGCTGACCGACTCCTGCTCACCTCAGGTGTATGCAGCCAACAGCCACCAGGGGCAGATGCTGGCCCAGTATATAGAGAGCTTCACCCAGGGCTCCATCGAGGCCCACAAGAGGGGCTCCCGCTTCTGGATCCAGGACAAAGGCCCCATCGTGGAGAGGTGAGCCGCCAGCTCCACCCCACCCGCCCCCTCCTGCCCGCCCCTCCTCCACCTCTGCCCTTCTCTCCCCCAGTTACATCGGGTTCATCGAGAGCTACCGTGACCCCTTTGGTTCCCGAGGAGAATTTGAAGGTAACTTCCTCGGGGAGGAGGAGGTCAGTCACAGTCCCTTCCCCCACATCCAAGTCCACGTGTCCAGTGTCCCCTGATGGTTCTCCCCACCCCCACTCAGCCATAACCATAACAATAACAACAGCCATCGTAAATAAACACCATTTACAGTGTATTGGGCACTGTTGTAAGAAGCTTAGCTATATTAACTAATTTAGAGTTCACCCCATGAGGATGTTTATCCTCACTTAACAGGTGTGAGCACTGAGGCACAGTTGGGGGGTGACCCAGAAACTCTGGCTCTGAGCTACTTTGCTGTGCTGCCTCTGGTGTCTGGTCAGGGCACAGGCTCCAGGTAGACATGTGCCTCCCAAGCCTAGCTTCACCACTTCCAGGCTGTGTGACCTTGGGCCAAATAGCCTGACCTCAGCACCAGTGCGGTTAGGATGCAGACTGCTACACTCAGTGGCTGGAAGCAGGATGGACATTGTGACTGGACCTGACCTGGGGCTGTCATCCCAGGCTGGTGGCAGGCTGCCTCGGCCCCCACCCCCTTCCCCAGGGGACCCACCTGTGGAAGGCAGGGCATCCAGCCTGAGGATTCAGCCACTTCTCTGGCTGCCCTAATCCTCCCCAGCCGCTGGATGTAGAAGAGTCTGAGCATCTGCCTGTTAAAGCCGGAGAGATTAGTCTGGGAGGAGAGCACACAGCCTGTTGGGGCTCAGGGGTGAGCCGCTAGACCCAGGCCCAGGGAGAAGGGGCAGGCGGCCCAGGGGCCTGAGGGGAAGACAGGTTTGTGCAGCTGCAGCTTTCCTGTCCAGGTCCTGACCTAGTAGGGCCCAGACCTGGGTCACTGCTGTCCCCAGCTGCCAGCCCAGGGTGACTGCATACAGTAGGCATTCAGTACATGCGTGATGGCTGGAGTAGGGTGAAGTGAGAGCCCTCCTGGAACCCTGCCAAGCCACAGCTCCCTCCCTCCCCTGCAGGTTTCGTAGCTGTGGTGAACAAGGCCATGAGTGCCAAGTTTGAGCGGCTAGTGGCGAGCGCAGAGCAGCTGCTGAAGGAGCTGCCCTGGCCCCCAGCCTTTGAGAAGGACAAGTTCCTCACCCCCGACTTCACCTCCCTGGATGTTCTCACCTTTGCTGGCTCCGGCATCCCTGCTGGCATCAACATCCCCAATTGTAAGTGTTGGCAGGCCCAGCCCCCGAGCCCCAGAAGCCTCCTTTTAGAGTCGCCCCTCCCTCTCCACACACACACTCTCCACAAACTGCCCTGTGCCTCTTGTCTGTGACCTTTGACCCTTGCCTCTTCTTCCTGGTCCTCCTCCGCCTTCTCCAGACGATGACCTGAGGCAGACGGAAGGCTTTAAGAACGTGTCACTGGGGAATGTGCTGGCTGTGGCCTACGCCACGCAGCGGGAGAAGCTCACCTTTCTGGAGGAGGATGACAAGGTGGGTGCCAGCAGTTGGAGGGTTGGGGCTGGGCCTCACCTTCCTCAGCAGACTCGGGAAGGCAGACAGCCCAGAGCAGTAGAGAGGAAAGCACACAGCTTCCGTCCTGGCTCTGCCACTTCCCAACCACATGACCGTGCGGACTTTGGAGCCTCGGTTTCTTCTCGGGTCACACTAGGGGGGCATCCCTCCCTTCCTCCTGGGTTGTTGCAAGGATGAGATGGGCTGTGGGGTGGAGCACAGTCGGCCTTTACCAAGTACATGCACTGAGATGGGCCCATGGCCCGGGGGAGGGGAGGCCGACAGGCTCTGTGGCCAGGGCCGGCCAGTGGACAGCGCAGGTCTCTGCTTGTCTTGGCAGGATCTGTACATCCTCTGGAAGGGGCCCTCTTTCGATGTGCAGGTGGGCCTGCACGAGCTGCTGGGCCATGGCAGCGGCAAGCTCTTCGTACAGGTAAGAAGGCAGCGGCCAGCCCTGGTACCCCAGCCCACAGCTCCACTCCCCACAACCTGCCCTACCCAGTGGTGAAGCTGCTCTAGCCTCTGCCCTCAGGGGCTGTGGGTTGGGTGGGGAAAACGGCCCCTTAAGCAGAGAAGACCCTGTCTTGCCCTTCCTCAAGATGTCCCAGGAGCTCAGAGGCCTGGTGTAGAGCCGGGGTGTAGAGGGCCCTCTGGGACAGTTCAGCTGCTGTTCCCCACACCAGGAGGAATTGCTTGGCTCAGGCTAAGGAAGCACACCCTAAGGGCGTGGCTCCAGCAGCCCCAGGACAGACACTGGGGGTAGGGGGCATCTCTGGGTGCTCCCATCTGAGGCAGCAGTGCTATCTTTGTTTGCGCTGCTGTTCCGTGGAGCCTGGGCTTTTCCAGGTATCGTAGGGAGCCACTTCTCCCCAGAGCAGCCCCTTCTTGCCAGCCAGCCAGCGTGACTGGAGTCCCCTCCACACCTACCCAGGGAATATGGAAACACAGACAACCTTTTATGGGGGGCTGAAAAGCTGATGTGGACCCCCAGCATGGAGATGACCAGAAGTGGGGTGGGGTGTGGCCCCTCCCTTCCGAGGGCAGGGTTCTTGGTGGGCCCTGCTTCTTGGGGTGTGGGGCTGCTTCCCTGGATGGGGAAGGGCTGGAACTGGGCCCCGGGGTCAGGAGGATGCGCAGAACAGCTGCTGAGGCAGCAGGCTGGCGAAACGCCTTGGCCAGACTTTATCCAGGCTGTGTGTGGCCTTGGATAAGTCAGCTCCTTCACCAACCCTCAGTTGGCCCATCTGTAAAATGAGATTCCTGACCCCTGCTGTGTGGGCTGTTGTGAGGAGTAAAGGTGAAGACAGTAAGCCCTGACACACAGTAGGTCCTCAGCAAACAGGTATTAGTGTTGAGAGACAGTGTCCACGGAGGTTGTGTGCTCTGACTCCAGTTTGGGGCTCTTAGGCTCCAAGCCTCAGTTTCCTCGTCTGTGAAGTGGGATAATAGTAGCACTGTCCTCGGAAGATGGTTGTGAGGATTAAAAGGACGCTGCATGAAAGACGCATGGCATGCAGTGGGAGTGGCAGTGCCAGGAGCCAGACCAGAAGCCCATGGTGGGCACAGCTGGGCTCTCTGGCCCACCCATTGGAGCATCTCCTACTGGGGTCTGGAGACACCAGATCTGGGTCCTCACAGGACTTGGGGCAAGTTCCTCGACTGTCTGGCCCTCGGTTCTCCTCTCTGTGCGGTGGGGTAGGCATCTCTGGTTCTCGCGTTCCTGATGGCTCTGAGGAGGCAGCCAGCGTCACAGGGCTCAGAGCTGTGCAGGCATCAGTGTGTGGACGGACCTGCTGCTCCTGCGCTCCCACTTGCCTTCCTGAGCCACTCTCTGGGCCCGTGGATTCTGGCGCTGGAGGCCTGGATCCAGCTGGGGGTGCCTTTCCCTCACCCAGCCTGTGTTCTGCAGGATGAAAAAGGAGCATTCAACTTTGACCAGGAGACAGTGATCAACCCAGAGACGGGCGAGCAGGTGAGGGAGGCCTCAGTAGAGCCCCAGGGTGCTGGGAGGGTGGGCACAGGTGGGGTGGGGCAGTGGCCACCCTAAGCCTGACAGTGGAGCTCTTTTTCCAGATTCAGAGCTGGTATCGGAGCGGGGAGACCTGGGACAGCAAGTTCAGCACCATCGCCTCCAGCTACGAAGAGTGCCGGGCTGAGAGCGTGGGCCTCTACCTCTGTCTCCACCCGGAAGTGCTGGAGTAAGAGCAGCAAAGCCAAGGGGTGGGCTGTCCCGGTGCAGTGGCCAGCCCTGGGGGCATGGAGGGTGGGTGGTGGCGGCCGGTGGAATGGGGACAGGGTAGCCTCTGACCATCCTGCCACCTGCCTGCCCGTCTCACAGGATCTTTGGCTTTGAGGGGGCTGATGCGGAGGACGTGATCTACGTGAACTGGCTCAACATGGTTCGGGCTGGGCTGCTCGCTCTGGAGTTCTACACACCTGAGGCCTCCAACTGGCGACAGGTGGGGCCTGGGTGGGGCCCCCAGGAGGCGGAAGGGAGCCTACAAGGATGATCAGCCTGCCAAGATCAGGGTGCAAGGATGGGACCGCTGTACCTTTAAGGCAGATGAACAGGGTTTAATGCCAGACTCCACTGTTTGGGGGGCAAGTCACATCACTCTCGTGAGCCCCAGAGTTCCTGTCTGTGAAGTGGGAGTAGGACTCTCCCCGGCCACCATTTCACGGTGAATCAGATGAGGTGATTTTGTTAGGACTCCTCGCAGTTGACGCCCTCTGTGCCACACACAATTCTAAGCGCCCTCCATGAATTCACTACGCCAGGAGGTAGGTGCTGTTGTTACCCTCATTTTGAGAAGAGAAATTGAGGCACAAGGAGATGATGCAACTTGCCACTAAGTGGCAGAGCCAGGATTCGCATCTATACAGTGCCTCCAGGGCCATTCAGTGCCACGGCTCCATTTTGTGTCCTTTGGACATGGGGTAAGTGATAGAAATTTTTTTTCTTTTTCTTTTTTTTTTTTTTTTTGAGACAGAGTCTCGCTCTGTCACCAGGTTGGAGTGCAGGGGCGTGATCTTGGCTCACTGCAACCTCCGCCTCCCGGGTTCAAGTGATTCCCCTCCCTCAGCCTCCTGAGTAGCTGGGACTACAGGCGCATACCACCACGCCTGGCTAATTTTTTGTATTTTTTAGTAGAGACAGGGTTTCACCGTGTTAGCCAGGATAGTCTCGATCCCTTGACCTCATGATCCACCCGCCTCAGCCTCCCAAAGTGCTGGGATTACAGGCATGAGCCACCGCGCCCTGCCAGCAATAGAAACTTTTTGACAAAATCAGATGGGTGTGGTTTGAGGAGGTATTGTGACATCATTCAGGGTCCAGAAATGTGGGTCTGAGTTGTGGCTCTTCCTTTACTAGCTGTGTGCCCCTAAAGAAGTCCCTCCACTTCTCTGGGCCTCTGTTTTATCATCTGCAAACTGGGGATAATGACGCTTACTTGGTTCCCCTTTTGAGCACAAACAAGGTTGTGGAGGAGAAAGTGTTTGGGGACCCTGGAGGGGGTAGCTGCTGTCCTCCTCGGGGGATCCGGAGGAGCAGGGATCACGGTGGGTGACATGGGGAGCATGGGCACCAGGTCCTACCTGGAAATGGCCTCCCTGTCTCCTAGTGCAGCCTGCTCTCTCTGTTAGCAGAGGAAGGAGGAAGCATTTGAGGGGAGGGGAATAAGCAGAAAAGGACCCACAGGGTGGGGGAGAATGACAATAACAGTTGCCAATAAATGAGCAACTGGGACCAAGGACCAAGCCTAGGACCAAGCACTTGATATGGGCTACAAATGCTGTCTTTCCCCACCCCGGCAGGCCCATATGCAGGCCCGGTTTGTGATCCTGAGAGTCTTGCTGGAGGCTGGCGAGGGACTCGTTACCATCACTCCCACCACAGGCTCTGATGGGCGCCCAGATGCCCGGGTCCGCCTCGACCGCAGCAAGATCCGGTCTGTGGGCAAGCCTGCTCTAGAGCGCTTCCTGCGGAGGCTTCAGGTAAGCAAAGCCCTCTCGCCTGGATGGGCCCCCGCCAACCTCTCCAGGGGCAGAGTGTTACCATGTGCCAGGCACGGAGAATAAGCTGTGAGCAGTTCTCTTACGCTGCAGTGAGGAAAGGTAGCCAGTAAACATGTAAGCACACCGGGTGCCTCACGCCTGTGATCCCAGCACTGTGGGAGGCCGAGGAGGGCGGATCACTTGAGCTCAGGAGTTCAAGACTAGCCTGGGCAACATGGCAAAAACCTCGTCTCTACAAAAAATACAAAAATTAGCCAGGCACGGTAGTGCGCGCCTGTAGTTCCAGCTACTCCAGAAGCTGAAGTGGGAGGATCACTTGAGCCTGAGAGGTGGAGGCTGCAGTGAGCCATGATTGTACCACTACACTCCAGCCTGGGTGACAGAATGAGACCCTATCTCTAAAAAAAAAAAAAAAAAAAAAGAATAAGGACATCTTTTATGTATTTATTTGTTTGTTTGTTTGTTTGTTTATTTTTGAGACAGAGTTTTGCTCTTGTTGCCCAGGCTGGAGTACAATGGCACGATCTCAGCTCACTGCAACCTTCTTCTCCCGGGTTCAAGTGATTCTCCTGCCTCAACCTCCCGAGTAGCTGGGATTGCAGGCTCCCGCCACCACGCCCGGCTAATTTTTGTATTTTTAGTAGAGACGGGGTTTCACCATGTTGGCCACGCTGGTCTTGAACTCCTGACCTCAGGTGATCCACCCACCTTGAATTCCCAAAGTGCTGGGATTACAGGTGTGAGGCAACGCGCCCAGCCAGGACATCTTTAAGAATGAAGGACATTTTTAGACAAACAAAAACAGTTTACCATTAATAAACCGTCAGTAACAACACTTCTACAGGATATAATTTAGGAAAAAGAAACAGCCCCAGAGAGAAGGTTGGATAAGCTGTAAGAAATATGGCTGAGTGATGCTGAGAGTAAATATACAATATGAACTTTGTATACCAATAAAAATGATCAATTTGGCTGCGTGTGATGGCTCATGCCTGTAATCCCAGCACTTTGGTAGGCTAGATTCCTTGAGTCTAGGAGTTCAAGACCAGCCTAGGCAACATAGTGAGACCTCATCTCTACAAAAAATTTTAAAAATAGCCAAGTGTGGCCGGGCGCGGTGGCTCATGCCTGTAATCCCGGCACTTTGGGAGGCCAAGGCGGGCAGATCAACTGAGGTTGGGAGTTTGCAACCAGCCTGACCAACATGGAGAAACCCCATCTCTACTAAAAATACAAAATTAGTCGGGTGTGGTGGTGCATACCTGTAATCCCAGCTACTCGGGAGGCTGAGGCAGGAGAATTGTTTGAACCCAGGACGTGGAGGTTGTGGTGAACCAAGATCGGGCCACTGCACTCCAGCCTGGGCAACAAGAGCGAAACTCCATCTCAAAAAAAAAAAAAATTAAAAATAGCCAAGTATGGTGATGCACGCCTGTGGTCGTGGCCACACAGGAGGCTGAGATGGGAGGATTTCTTGAGCACGGGAGGTAGAGGCTGCAGTGAGCCCTGATTGCCACTGCACTCTAGCCTGGGCGACAGAGCTAGATTCTGTCTCTAAAAGAAAAAGAAAAGATAACATTGATCAAAAGTTACCATAAAGAAGGTGTCAAGTGTTACACTAGGATAGGATATTTACAACACATATGGTTAGTCCCCGCTTATCCACAGTTTTGCTTTCTGCGGTTGCAATTAGCTGCAATAAAATACAAAAAGATATTTTTAGGCTGGGTGTGGTGGTTCACTCCTGTAATCCCAGCATTTTGGGAGGCCCAGACGGGCTGATCACCTGAGGTCAGCAATTCAAGACCAGCCTGGCCAACATGGCGAAACCCTGTCTCTATTAAAAATACAAAACTTAGCTGGGCATGGTGGCAGGCGCCTGTAATCCCAGCCACTCAGGAGGCTGAGGTATGAGAACCACGTGAATCTGGGAGTTGGAGGTTGCAGCAAGCCAAGATTGCGTCACTGCCCTCCTGCTTGGGTGACACAGTGACACACTGCCTCAAAAAGAAAAAAAAGATACTTGAGAGAGAGGCTGTATTCACCTAACTTTTATTCCATTATTTTGTTACATTTGTTCTATTTTATTAGTAGTTATTGTTAATCTCTTCCTGTGCCTAACTTATAAATTAAACTTTCTCATAGATGTGTATGTATGGTGAAAAAACAGTGTATATATAGGGCCCTGTACTACATGGTCTTGGAACATATCCTCCATGTATCTGTGGGGACTACTGTACTAACAAAGGGTTCATATCTAAAATACATAAAGAACTTTTCAGCCGAGCACAGTCGCTCCCGCCTGTAATCCCAGCACTTTGGGAGGCCAAGGCAGATGGATCACTTGAGGTCAGGAGTTTGAGAACAGCCTGGACAACATGGTAAAACCCATCTCTACCAAAAATATAAAAAATTAGCCAGGCGTATTGGCAGGCGCTTGTAATCCCAGCTACTCAGGAGGCTAAGGCAGGAAAATCGCTCAAACCTGGAAGGTGGAGGTTGCAGTGAGCTGAGATCATGCCACTGCACTCCATCCTGGGCAACACAGCGAGACTCTGTTTCAAAAAATAAAGAAAGAAAAAACTTTTTTAAAAAAAAGTGAGGGGCCGGGCGCGGTGGCTCAAGCCTGTAATCCCAGCACTTTGGGAGGCCAAGACGGGCGGATCACGAGGTCAGGAGATCAAGACCATCCTGGCTAACACGGTGAAACCCCGTCTCTACTAAAAAATACAAAAAAACTAGCCGGGCAAGGTGGCGGGCGCCTGTAGTCCCAGCTACACGGGAGGCTGAGGCAGGAGAATGGCGTAAACCTGGGAGTCGGAGCTTGCAGTGAGGTGAGATCCGGCCACTGCACTCCAGCCCGGGCAACAGAGCAAGACTCCGTCTCAAAAAAAAAAAAAAAAGAAAAAAAAAAGTGAGGGAGAAAAGATAACCCAACAGAAAATAAGCAAAAATGAACAGAAGAGGAAAATGAATTGCCCTTGACCAACTAAGGGAAGATGCTCAACCTTGTTAGTAATTAGGTAAGCTCGACCTAAGCTACGTAAGTTACAACTGATACCCACCAGCATGGCAGAAATTGATAACTGCCAGCATCCACTTAGTAGACTAAGCAATGAGGACTGCCACCCACTGCTTTTGGAAGGCTGAATTACATATGAATTTCAAGAAACAGCAGCATCATCTCTTAAAGTTGTGCATTCCTGTCACCTACACAGAATCAGTTCTGGAAAAACTTGCATCTGTTCATCAGGAGACATACAGGGATGTTCACATCTGCATTATTAGCAAAAAGCACCAGCTGGGCGCAGTGGCTCACGCCTGTAATCCCAGCAATTTCGGAGGCCGAGGCGGACAGATCACCTGAGGTCAGGAGTTTCAGACCAGCCTGGTTAACATGGTGAAACCCCATCTCTACTAAAAGTACAAAAAGGCCAGGCGCGGTGGCTCATGCCTGTAATCCCAACACTTTGAGAGGCTGAGGTGGGCAGATCACCTGAGGTTAGGAGTTCAAGACCAGCCTGGCCAACATGGTGAAACCCCTTCTCTACTAAAACTAAAAAATTAGCCGGGTGTGGTGGCATGCGCCTGTAGTCCCAGCTACTCAGGAGGCTGAGGCAGGAGAATCACTGGAACCCGGGAGGTGGAGGTTGCAGTGAGCCGAGATCGTGCCACTGCACTCCAGCCTGGTGACAGCGAGATTCCATCTCAAAAAAAAAAAAAAAAAAGTACAACATCAAGGATAGTGGTTTCCTTAGATGGGGGCAGCCACAGAGTGCAGTCAAGCAGAAGCAGTAGAACTAACTCTGAGGTGAGGTGGGGGTTGTATGAGTGTCTGTTTTTCTTTTTGGTGTTTTTTTTTTGTTTTTGTTTGTTTGTTTGTTTGTTTTTGAGATGGAGTCTCGCTCTGTTGCCCAGGCTGGAATGCAGTGGCAAGTTCTTGGCTTATTGCAGCCTCCGTCTCCCGGGTTCAAGCGATTCTCCTCCCGAGTAGCTGGAATTACAGGCACGTGCCACCACACCCAGCTAATTTTGTTTGTTTGTTTGTTTTTGAGATGGAGTCTTGCTCTGTCGCCCAGGCTGGAGTGCAGTGGCTGCGATCTCGGCTCACTGCAAGCTCCGCCTCCCAGGCCATTCTCCTGCCTCAGCCTCCCGAGTAGCTGGGACTACAGGTGCCCACCACCGTGCCTAGCTTATTTTTTGTATTTTTAGTAGAGACGGGGTTTCACTGTGGTCTCGATCTCCTGACCTTGTGATCCGCCCACCTTGGCCTCCCATAGTGCTGGGATTACAGGCATGAGCCACCGCGCCCAGCCTTTTTTTTTTTTTGAGACGAAGCCTTGCTCTGTTGCCCAGACTGGAGTGCAGTGGCACAATCTCGGCTCACTACAGCCTCCGCCCTCCAGGTTCATGCCATTCTCCTGCCTCAGCCTCCCGAGTAGCTGGGACTACAGGTGCCCGCCACCATGCCTGGCTAATTTTTTGTATTTTTAGTAGAGACAGCTAAAAGACACTGTGTTAGCCAGGATGGTCTCCATCTCCTGCCCTTGTGATCCACCCGCCTCAGCCTCCCAAAGTGCTGGGATTACAGGCATGAGCCATCGTGCCTGGCCAAACTTTTTGTATTTTTAATAGAGACGGAGTTTCACATTGTTAGCCAGGATAGTCTTGATCTACTGATCTCATGATCCGCCCGCCTCGTTCTCCCAAAGTGTTGGGATTACAGGCGTGAGCTACTGCGCCTGGCCCCAGTGTCTGTTTTAATGTTATTTACAGTATACATACTATATCTTGTATGTGTAAGAAATGTTTTATTTTATTTTATTTTATTTTTTTTATTTTTGAGACGGAGTCTCGCTCTGTCGCACAGGCTAGAATGCAGTGGCCGGATCTCGGCTCACTGCAAGCTCTGCCTCCCGGGTTCCCGCCATTCTTCTGCCTCAGCCTCCCGAGTAGCTGGGACTACAGGCGCCCGCCACCTCGCCCGGCTAGTTTTTTTTGTATTTTTTAGTAGAGACGGGGTTTCACCGTGTTAGCCAGGATGGTCTTGATCTCCTGATCTCGTGATCCGCCCGTCTCGGCCTCCCAAAGTGCTGGGATTACAGGCTTGAGCCACCGCGCCCGGCCTATTTTATTTTTATTTTATTTATTTATTTATTTTTGAGATAGAGTCTCACTTTGTCACCCAGGCTCTAGTGCAATGGTGCAATCTTGGCTCACCGCAACCTTCACCTCCTGGATTCAAGCGATTCTCCCGCCTCAGCTTCCTGAATAGCTGGGACTACAGGCACCGCCATCATGCCCGGCTAGTTTTTGTATTTTTGTAGAGACAGGGTTTCACCATGTTGGCCAAGCTGGTCTTGAACTCCTGACCTCAGGTGATCTGCCCGCCTCGGCCTCCCAAAGTGCTGGGATTACAGGTGTGAGCCACCGCACCCAACCAGAAATGTTTTATTTTATAAAGGGTAATGGTCATACCTGCCTTGTTTACATGTCAGATGAGATAATCAAATGAGAAACATTAGCTTTAATTTTGTGGGCATTTACTCTGTGCTAATCACTGATCTGTGTTTCTCACTCATTCAGTGCATTAACACTGTGAGAGAGCAGAACTATTCCTGTTTAGAGATATTCCTGTTTAGGTGTTAGAGATAGAGTGGTTTAGTAACTTGTCCGAGGTTACACTGCCTGTAAGTGACTGGGCCCAGCGTTTTGCAGGGTGTCTTAGTCCGTTTTGTGCTGTTGTAACACACCAAAATACCAGAGGCTGGGTGATTTATAAAGAACAGAAATTGGCCAGGTGTGGTGGCTCACGCCTGTAATCCCAGCACTTTAGGAGGCCAGGGCAGGGCAGATCACGAGGTCAAGAGATGGAGACCAGCCTGGCTAACACAGTGAAACCCCATCTTTACTAAAAACACAAAAAATTAGCCGGACGTGGTGGCATGTGTCTGCAGTCCCAGCTACTCGGGAGGCTGAGCTAGGAGAATTGCTTGAACCCGGGAAGCAGATGTTGCAGTGAGCCAAGATTGCTCCATTGCACTCCAGCTTGGGTGACAGAGCGAGACTCTGTCTCAGAAAAAAAAAAAAGTGTCTGGGCGTGGTGGCTCGCGTCTGTAATCCCAGCACTTTGGGAGGCCGAGGCGGGCGGATCACGAGGTCAGGAGGTCAAGACCATCCTGGCTAACACGGTGAAACCCCGTCTCTACTAAAACTACAAAACGTTAGTTGGGTGTGGTGGCGGGTGCCTTTAGTCCCAGCTACCAGGAGGCTGAGGCAGGAGAATACCGTGGACTCGGGAGGTGGAGTTTGAAGTGAGCCAAGATCGCACAACTGCACTCCAGTCTGGGCAACAGAGCGAGACTCTGTCTCGAAAAAAAAGAACAGAAATTTATTTCTGACAGTTCTGGAGGTGGGGAAGTTCAAGATCAAGGCACCAGCTGGTTCATTGTCTGGTGAAGGCTGCTCTCCCCTTCCATCCAAGATGATACCTTGTTGACGAATTATTTGGAGGAGAGGACTGGAAGGAATGCTGTGGCCTCACATGAGAGAAGGCAAAATGGCAACAGGGCCAAACAGGCATGAAGGCTGTTTTCCTTTTTCTTTCTTTCTTTTCCTTTTTTTAGAGATGAGACAAGGTCTCACTATGTTAACCAGGCTGGTCTCAAACTCCTGAGCTCAAGTAATCCTCTCACCTCGGCCTCCCCAAGTGCCCAGGATTGCAGGCACGAGCCACCATGGCTGGCCTTTTATTTATTTATTTACTTTTTCCATAGAGATAGGGTCTTGCCACATTGTCCAGGCTGGTCTCAAACTCCTGGGCTCAAGTGATCCCCTGCCTCCTCCTCCCAAGGTACTAAGATTACAGATGTGAGCCACCACACCCAGTTTAAAGTCTCTTTTATAAGGGCCTTAATCCCATTTGTGAGGAAGGAGCCTTAATGGTTAAGTTGAAACTTAACCATAAGTTTCAACAGCGGAATTTTGGAGGGGACACATTCAAACCATAGCACAGACTGTCCAGGGCTGACCACAATCAGCTGTGGCCTGTGGCAGAGCCCTGTGGACACCGGGTAAGTGCCCATCCTAGACATTTACTCCATCCTTCCCACAGGTTCTGAAGTCCACAGGGGATGTGGCCGGAGGGCGGGCCCTGTACGAGGGGTATGCGGCAGTCACTGATGCGCCCCCGGAGTGCTTCCTCACCCTCAGGGACACGGTGCTGCTGCGTAAGGAATCTCGGAAGCTCATCGTTCAGCCCAACACTCGCCTTGAAGGTAATGGACTCTTGAGCTCCCTTAATGAGCACCACACAGGGCCCTCTGGGAAGCAATAAGAACCCATCCCAGGGCTCAGGGAGAGCAGCCTGGGATGGCCCTTCCCTTTCTGCCAGGGTCCTTCCCGTGCCAAACCTCAGGCCCTAATCTTGGTATCGGTCACCACCCACCACCCCCCCGACACACACACAGTCATGCGAGTTGTAAGACAGTGACAGAAGATTTGAAGAATACCACCAGAGCAGGGGATAGCAGAACATGCAGACTTAGGGGGAAGCCAGGCATTTGTACCAAAGGATTAGACCTGTTGGGTACCCAGGCTGGGGGTCAGGTCAGGAGGGAGCTGGGACCCAGCAAGCCTAGTGAAACCCAGTGGACAGTGTGACTTGGTCGCATCTGGGATGGTGATCAACAGCTGCATCATCCCTCTTCCTTCTCAAGCGACAATTCCGGAGCCTCGCCCTGGCCACAAGGTGCTTATATCTTTTGAATTCAAACCCCCTGGGGACCCAGCCCCTGACTGCCTTCACTTTCCTCTCACCCCTTGATTCATCTTTCCTGCTGTTTGTCACTTGAGACACCTAAGATGATGTGGTGTTATGGAGTGGTTAGAGCACCAGCTTCAGAACCGCCCTTTGACCTTGGCCTAGTCATTTGACCTTTCTAGACTTTGGTGTCTTCATTCACAAAGCCATTGCGGACCGCTTGCTGATATTATAGTGAACCTGAATTCCTTCTTAGAGTTTCTAAGTGCTTTCTGGGGATTAACCTTTTAAATCCATACAGTAGCCCAATAAGGTAGGTATTTTTGTTATCCCCATTTTACAGGTAAGGAAACTGAGGCACAGAGAGTAATTTGAGTAATTTGCACAAGGCTTATGCCTTTTTAGTGGAGAAGCCAAGAGTCAAATTAAGAGTGGTTGAGTCAGGCATGGTGGCCCCTGCCTGTAGTCCCAGCTACTTGAAAGGGTGAGGTGGGAGGATCGCTTGAGCCTAGGAGTTCAAGACTGCAGAGCAAGACCTCAGCTCTTCAAAAAAAAAAAAAAAAAAAAAAAAAAAGCATTGTCCTGGGCAGTTCTGAGGGTTAAATAGAATAATATTTGTAAAAAGTCATTACCTATTATTGGTGAGGAAAAAGCATTTATTTATTTGTTTTTTGGGTGGGTTTTTTTTTTTTTTTGAGATGGAGTCTCACTCTGTCTCCCAGGCTGGAGTGTAGTGGCGCAATCTCGGTTCACTGCAGCCTCCGCCTCTGAGTTCAAGTGATTCTCCTGCCTCAGCCTTCCGAGTAGCTGGGATAACAGGTCCCTGCCACCACACCCAGCTAATTTTTTTTTTTTTTTTTTTTTTGAGACGGAGTCTCGCTCTGTCGCCTAGGCTGGAGTGCAGTGGCACGATCTCCGCTCACTGCAACCTCTGCCTCCCAGGTTCATGCCATTCTCCTGGCTCAGCCTCCCGAGTAGCTGGGACTACAGGCACCCGCCACCGTGCCCACCTAATTTTTTGTGTTTTTAGTAGAGACGGGGTTTCACCGTGTTAGCCAGGATGGTCTCAATCTCCTGACCTCGTGATCCGCTCACCTCGGCCTCCCAAAGTGCTGGGATTACAGGCGTGAGCTACCGCACCTGGCTGCTAATTTTTTTTTTTTAGTAGAGACGGAGTTTTACAATGTTGGCTAGGCTGATCTTGAACTCCTGACCTCAAGTGATCCTCCCACCTTGGCCTCACAAAGTGCTGGGATTATAGGCGTGAGCCACCGTACCCGGCCTTATTTTTTTATTTTTAATTTTGTTTATTTATTTATTTTTTGAGACAGGGTCTCACTCTGTCACCCAGGCTGGAGTACAGTGGTGTGACCTTGGCTCACTGCATCCTCTGCTTCCGGGGCTCAAGTAATTCTGTAGCCTCAGCCTCCCGAGCATCTGGCACTACACACCCGGCTAAGATTTGTATTTTTTGTAGAGACGGGATTTCTCCATGTTGGCCTGGCTGGTCTTAAACTCCTGAGCTCAAAGTGATCCACCCTCCTCGGCCTCCCAAAGTGCTGGGATTACAGGTGTGAGCCACCATGCCCAGTGGAAAAAGCTTTTATTTTATTTCTTTCTGAGATGGAGTTTCCCTCTTGTTGCCCAGGCTGGAGTGCAATGGCGCAATCTTGGCTCATTGCAACCTCTGCCTCCCAGGTTCAAGCGATTCTCCTGCCTCAGCCTCCTGAGTAGCTGGGATTACAGGCATGTGCCGCCATGCCTGGCTAATTTTTGTATTTTTAGTAGAGACAGGGTTTTGCCATGTTGGCCAGGCTGGTCTCGAACTCCTGACCTCAGGTGATCCGCCCTCCTCGGCCTCCCAAAGTGCTGGGATTACAGGCGTGAGCCACCGTGCCCGGCTGGAAAAAGTATTTATTAAGACGCTCATTCTAGATGCTTTTCCGTGCCCTCCAGAGGCTTCCTGGGATTTGGCCCCAACCCTTGCCAGCCTCACCACCTCTTCTCTGGCTTACTGTACTCCGGGCTCCCGACCCTTCTGTTTCTTCTACCCACTGAGCTCGCTCCACTCCTACAGCCTTTAAATAGGCTGTTCTTGCTGCTTGGCATGATCTTCCTCCAGATCTTTGCCTGTCTGGTTCTTTTTGTCCTTCAGCTCCTTGTAAAATGGCACCTTGTGAGAGAGGTTGTCTCTGACCCCTCAACCTAAAGTAACTGCTTCAGTCCCTCTCTATTCTGCCACCCAGCTTTATTTTCTTCATGTGCCCATCACGCTTGCCCATTTTTTTGGTGGTCACATCTCATGATGGGAGGAGCAGCATACACCAGTGCCTCATGCACAGCCTGGCACATTGGAGTTGCTCAGTGGCTGTCAAATGAGTGCATTAACAAATCATGCCAGCCACATGGACAGTACCATCAATTGCTTTGATATGTCCAGCCCTGTGCGAGCCATGGGGGAGCCACTGGGGACCCGGAGGTGATGACAGCTCATTGGGGATGATAAGATATGGAGATAAATAATCACACAAGGGAAGTGTTAATGAGCAGCCAAAAGATATAAACAGAACTCTGAACACTTAGAGGAGGGAAGATCGCATCCATCTTTAAGAGGATCTGGGAACGTTCTGGGGAGGAAGTGGTGGTTCCCACTAGATCTGAAGAACAGGTTGGATTTTCAACGGCTGTGATGGTGATGCACTGTAAAAATTTTTTTTTTTTTTTGAGGTGGAGTCTCACTCTGTCCCGCAGGCAGTGGTGAGATCTCGGCTCACTGCAACCTCCACCTCCCGAATCAAACAATTCTCCGGCCTCAGCCTCCGAAAAGCTGGGATTACAGGCGCCCACCAACATGCCTGGCTAATTTTGTATTTTTAGTAGAGATGGGGTTTCACCATGTTGGCCAGGCTGATCTCAAACTCCTGACCTCAAGTGATCCACCTGCCTCAGCCTCCCAAAGTGCTGGGATTACAGGCGTGAGCCACCACACCCAGCCAGGTCACTGTAAAAGTTTTCTATGGATTAACTCCTGACAACCCAGAGAGAAATGGTTATTATCCTCATTTTTCAGCTGGAAAATGAGGCACAGAGGGGCTGTGTATTTGCCTGCGGTCACACAGCTTTTGGGTGGCACAGCCAGAACTTGAACTCCAGAGCCTGTGCTCTTTGCTGCTGTACAGCTTGCGATGTCATGGAACATGACAAGTTGCAGAGAAGGGCTAGAGCAGTTGAAATGTGTTTGAGGGCAGTACTTCCCAGGAGTATTCAGGGGACCCTCAGAACAGCCCATTTAACAAATTGGTAAACAGGCTCGGAGATAATGATGCCATGGTGGCTAGCATTTGTTGAGCACCCCTTCAATGTGTGACTATGTCATCACCACAGCTCCTTTACAGATGAGGAGACTGAAGCTTAGGAGGTTGGGAAACTTGCCCCAGGTCCCACAGTAGACAGATGAAGTTGTTGCTGGACTGTGAGCTTCAGGACACCAAGGACTGTATCTGTTTCACCTAGTGTGGCACCTGGTGTAAACCTTTTATTATTTATTTATTTATTTATTTATTGAGGTAGAATCTCACTCTGTCGCCCAGGCTGGAGTATAGTGGCATGAGCTCCATTCACTGCAACCTCTGCCACCCAGGTTCTCCAGCCTCAGCCTCCCGAGTAGCTGGGACTACGGGCACGTGCCACCACGCCCAGCTAATTTTTTTGTATGTTTAGTATAGACAGTGTTTCACCATGTTGGCCAGGCTTGTCTCAAACTCCTGACCTCAGGTGATCCTCCCGCCTCGGCCTCCCAAGGTGCTGGGATTACAGGCATGAGCTACCGTGCCCAGCCTAAATCTTTATTTGACTGACTGAATGAATGAAAGCAGCAATGCATTTAATACTCCCCCTGTAGTATTTCCTTCCTCACAGGGTTAGTGTAAAGAGTAAATTAAGTAATTAACCTAAAACGTAGAGCACAGGTTCTTTTTGGCAGAGCTCAGTAAGAAACAGCTGCTGCTGTGATTGTGATTATTAAGACTATTATGATGATTCAGTTTCCCTATTCAAACCTTTCCCTGCTGCTATTTTATCTCCATCTCCTCCCCAGACTCAGACGTGCAGCTTCTGGAATACGAGGCCTCGGCTGCTGGCCTCATCCGATCCTTCTCCGAGCGTTTCCCAGAGGATGGACCCGAGTTGGAGGAGATCCTCACACAACTGGCCACAGCTGATGCCCGATTCTGGAAGGGCCCCAGTGAGGCCCCATCTGGCCAGGCTTGAGGAAGATGTGTGGCCTCTCCCCTAACTCCAAGAAACCAAGGCTGCAAGTGGCCCTCCATTCGTGTGTGTTTTTAGGGGCTAGGGGAGGGGGAGGGGCAGGATCTTGGACCTTGGTACTACCTCAGCTGAGGGTGGTGACACTAACCCCTTCCATTTGTCAGCACTTTCCAGCTTGCCAAGTGCTTCCCCTCTGTGATCTCATTTCATCTGCACTGCCATACCTGGAGTGAGCAAGACAGGGCTCACCATCCTGTCTACCAGATGAGGAAATGGCAGTTCTGAGAAGTCACTGGTCTAGATTCCACAGGTGGCACGTGACAGCTAGGGTTCAAAATGTTCTCACCTAATCCAGTGCTCCTCACATATTAATTTTATAACCAGACAAATAAATATTAGAGACAACCACCATATTTGTGTGGCTCCTCCTTGCCTTTGTCTGTCTTCTCATTTGCTCCCAGCAGAGTGATGGGCTCAAGGCCTGGGGAGGGAGCAAGGAGGGCCATTTTTAGCCTCCCTTCCACAACAGGATGTTGACGTTATCTCTAGATGAGGATATGCAGTCACAGAGCTAAACATAGCACAATCTTTGCAGCTCTCCTTTGTGGCATTCCTTGCATTTTTAAATGTTCCGGGGCCAGGCGCGGTGGCTCACGCCTGTAATCCCAGCACTTTGGGAGGCCGAGGCGAGCAGATCACGAGGTCAGGAGTTTCAGACTAGCCTGGCCAATATGGTGAAACCTCGTCTCTATTAAAAAATAAAAAAATTAGGCCGGGTGCGGTGGCTCAAGCCTGTAATCCCAGCACTTTGGGAGGCCGAGACGGGCGGATCACGAGGTCAGGAGGCCGAGACGGGTGGATCACGAGATCAAGAGATCGAGACCATCCTGGCTAACACGGTGAAACCCCGTCTCTACTAAAAAAAAAATACAAAAAACTAGCCAGGCGAGGTGGCGGGCACCTGTAGTCCCAGCTACTCAGGAGGCTGAGGCAGGAGAATGGCCTGAACCCGGGAAGCGGAGCTTGCAGTGAGCTGTGATCCGGCCACTGCACTCCAGCCTGGGCAACAGAGTGAGACTCCGTCTCAAAAAAAAAAAAAAAAATTAGCTGGGCATGGTGGCTACTGTAATCCCAGCTACTCGGGAGGCTGAGGCAGGAGAATCGCTGGAACCCGGGAGGCGGAGGTTGCAGTGAGCTGAGATCGTGCCATTGCACTCCAGCCCTGGCGACAGAGCGAGACTCCATCTCAAAAAAAAAAAAAAAAAAAAAAAAAAAAAAAAAAAAAAAAAAAAGTTGTGGGAATCTACAAACTCAACTTAAGTCAGAATCCTCTGCATTTGCCCCATAACCTTCATGTTTTGTTTCTCTGGGCCTGGACCTCTACAGTAAGGCAGCAAGACAGGACCTGACCCCTTTTCAACCGGGTAACCATGAAGATGGAGACAGGAGGAGTTTGCTTTGCTGCTCATAAATGCAAGAAGGGGGCTTCTTTCCAACCCTGGAAGCCAAAGGGCCCTGTGGCTGACCCAGAGACTGTAAGACCCAGACGCCTGGAAAGGCGGCTCTGACTGGGAAGGAGGAAAGATAAATAAGCTGGGAGAGATTCCTCAACCCAGGAGGGTGGCCAGCGCGTCCTCCTCAGCCTAGAGGAGAAAGCTTGGCGCCCGGAACCTTTGTACTCGCGCTTCCCAGCGCTCGGGCATTATTGGGCGTTACGCGGCGGCGGGGGAGGGGCCGGTTGCCAGGACGACGCCTGCGAAAATGGCCGCTGCGTCCTCATCGGATTACAACGGCTGCGGAGCTGAGAGGTGAAGGCGGGGCCCCTCAAGGCTTCTTTTCCCACCCGTGTAAAGAGGGTCCCTTGGTCCCCGGGTTCTGGGCTCCTGCTGTTCTCGGGCAGTCTGGAAGGACTCTTATAGAGGTCAAATAGGGAAATCGAGGCCTAAGATGTGCATATGTGTGTCTGGAGGTCGCTCGGTGAGCCAGTGGCGGAGCCTGGACTTGTACCCAGACGTTCTGTACCTTACGTTCAGAGTGACCTGTACCAGCTTACTCAAAGTTTTCTTCCCCTTCCATGGGACTCACTCCCCAACTCTTTCCCCCACTCCCAGCAATGAGGCCAATTCGAAATGGTTGGATGCGCACTACGACCCAATGGCCAACATCCACACCTTTTCTGCCTGCCTAGGTGAGTCTCTGGAACCAGGAACCCTGGGTTCTAGTGGGATGGGGAGTCAGACAATGGTCCTGTAGTGAAGCCTCTGGGATATCTGAGACCCTGGTTTTGGCCCTTTTGTTTTCCAGCGCTGGCAGATTTGCATGGGGATGGGGAATACAAGGTAAGCATATCACCCTCGCAGGAGAGTTGAGGGTAGGGGGATGTACCCAGAAATGAGATTTCCCGACGGCTGAAAAGAGGCCCAGCATACTCTGGAATTCACATATACTGTGAAAAAGCACATTTAGCGTTAAATTTTGTTTTTATGTGGAAAGTGAGGAGAACGTATTAATTTCATAATACAGACTGCAGAAAGTAAAGCAGATCAAATATTTCTAGGGATTCTACTAAGACAAAGCCTTTTACTTTTAGTTAACATGACTTCCTTGTTGGAAGGGCAAATCCCTTGGTTGGTGGGGGGCGGCATTAGAATCTGGAGGGAAAGTAAAAGGGAGGGAAGTTAACGTTTTGTTTATCAAAAGATTTTAAGATTGGCCATGAGCTGTCAATTGTTGAAGCTGGATAATGGGATATATGGGGGTTCACTATATCTCTTCACTTTTGTATGTGGATGAAAATTTTCCATAGTAAAAATGTTAAATTTTTTTTTTTTTTTTTTTGACGCGGAGTCTTGCTCTGTGCCCCAGGCTGGAGTGCAGTGGCGTGATCTCGGCTCACTGCAAGCTCCGCTCCCCCGGGTTCACGCCATTCTCCTGCCTCAGCCTCCCGAGTAGCTGGGACTACAGGCGCCCGCCACCTCGCCCGGCTAATTTTCTTGTATTTTTAGTAGAGACGGGGTTTCACCGTGTTAGCCAGGATGGTCTCGATCTCCTGACCTCATGATCCGCCCGTCTCGGCCTCCCAAAGTGCTGGGATTACAGGCTTGAGCCACCGCGCCCGGCCAAAAAAATGTTAAATTTTAAATTTAATTTTAAGGCCAGCATGGTGGCTCACGCCTGTAATCCCAGCACTTTGGGAAGCTGAGGCGGGTGGATCACTTGAAATCAGGAGTTCAAGACCAGCCTGTCCAACATGGTGAAACACCATCTCTACTAAAAATACAAAAATTAGCCGGGCATGGTGGTGGGCAACGGTAATCCTAGCTACTTGGGAGGCTGAGGCAGGAGAATCGGTTGAACCCGGGAGGTGGAAGTTGAGTGAGCCGAGATCATGCCACTATACTCCAGCCTGGATGACAGAGTGAGATTCCATTTAATTTTAAATTAAAAATATATTTTTAAATAAATATATATTTAATTTTAAATAAAAATGTAAATAAAGTTTAAAAGATGTAAATTTTTTAAAGGTAGAGAAATATATTTGGATAAAAGAAAGGAAGTTAGCATGGATTCAGTATCCATTTCTGGACTAGACCTTCCGTGGAGGCACATAAACATAGATTTTATTTATTCCCATTTTGTGAATGGGAAAATAGTTTCAAAGAGGTTAAGTTTACTTAATTTGTAACTGGGTCTGTTTGATTTCAAGTCTTGTGCTTTTTCACCATAGCTCACTCACCATGGGCAACGACACCACGATAGATAAATCATGTGGGTAGCTAGAAGATTGTCCTGGAATCCTACCCCACATAGAGAGTGCAATAGGACTCAGTGGTTTTTGTCCCCAAATTCCTATCCATAATGCATTCAGTAATTCAGCAAGTGTATAGTGAGTCCCTACTGTGTGTCAGGCATTGTTGGGACTCTACACTTAGAAATACATCAGCATGTAGTCAGGAGGATATACAGACACTGTCAACAATTATTCCATGATATTGATTGAACACCTAGTTAGTATTTGGCTCTGGGCTTACAGTAATGAGGGAAGAGAAACCACAGACACAGTAGCTAATAAGAAATGTTAGCCAGGCATAGTGGCTCATGCCTGTAATCCCAGGACTTTACGAGGCCAAGGCAGGTAGATCATGAGGTGGAGTTCGAGACCAGCCTGGCCAACATGGTGAAACCCCATCTGTACTAAAATACAAAAATCAGCCAGGCGTGGTGGCAGGCGCCTGTAATCCCAGCTACTTGAGAGGCTGAGGCAGGAGAATGACTTGAAACTGGAAGGCGGAGGTTTCAGTGAGCTGAAATCACACCATTGCACTCCAACCTGGGTGACAGAGCGAGACTCCATCTTAAAAAAACGAAAGAAAGAAATGTTAAATACCTTCACATAATAGAATGTTTAATGGCTAGTTTATTCACCATTGAGCCCCAGCATCTAGCCCAGTGCCTGGCACAAAGTTGGTACTTGATAAATATTTGTGAGGAAGTGAGTAGATGCTAAAATTGAACATTCTGATGTGGTCCCTGGAAAGTATTATGGGGGCGCCAGTGAGAACAATGGATTCTATCTGGAGGCACCAGGAAGCAGTAATGTGTAAACTGGGCATTTAAGGATGAATGAAGTCTATCAAGAAGTCAAGGATGAGAGGATGGGGAAGGCATTTCAGGTAGAAGAAACAGCAAAAGCAGAGGCACAGAGGCTTAGAAGTTCATAGCATACTTGGAAAGAATAAATGTGAAGTTAGAAAGTTGAGGCCCATATAAAATAACTACCACATAAAAAAGTAGTTAAGACTATGGCTTTGGGTTCAGACAGACCTAGCTCTACCACTTTATAGCTGTGTGACTTTACTTAACATCTCTAAGACACAGCTTCCTCATTTGAGAAATGAGGCTAATAATGGTACCTGCTTCACAAGGTTGTTGAAAGCCCGGTGTAGTGGCGCACATCTGTAGTCCTAGCTGCTTGGGAGGCTAAGGTGGGAAGATCGCTTAAGCCCAGGAGTTCGAGGCTGCAGTGACCCATGATTGCACCACTGCACTCCAGCCTAGGTGACAGAGCAAGACCCAGTCTCTTAAAAATAATAAGATTGTCGGCCGGGTGCAGTGGCTCACGCCTGTAATCCCAGCACTTTGGGAGGCCAAGGCGGGCGGATCACAAGGTCAGGAGATCAAGACCATCATGGCGAACATGGTGAAACCCCATCTCTACTGAAAATACAAAAAAATTAGCCGGGGCCGGGCGTGGTGGCTCACGCCTGTAATCCCAGCACTTTGGGAGGCCGAGGTGGGTGGATCACAAGGTAAGGAGATCGAGACTACGGTGAAACCCCGTCTCTACTAAAAATACAAAAAATTAGCCGGGTGCGGTGGCAGGCGCCTGTAGTCCCAGCCACTCGGGAGGCTGAGGCAGGAGAACAGCGTGAACCCGGGAGGCGGAGCTTGCAGTGAGCCGAGATCGCGCCACTGCACTCCAGCCTGGGGTACAGAGTGAGACTCCGTCTTTAAAAAAAAAAAAAAAAAAATTAGCCGGGCGTGGTGGCAGGCGCCTGTAGTCCCAGCTTCTCGGGAGGCTGAGGCAGGAGAATGGCGTGAACCCGGGTGGCGACGGAGCTTGCAGTGAGCGGAGATCGTGCCACTGCACTCCAGCCTGGGAGACAGAGCGAGACTCCATCTCAAAAATAATAATAATAATAATAATAAGATTGTCAAGAGGGTTAAATGAAAGGATGCATGCAGTTTCTGATGTGGTCCCTGGCACATACTGCATGATCAGTAGCCAGCCTTTCTTGGGTACCCACTTTCCGGCCAGAGCACAGCAATGGGAAGTGTGATAGGAAACAAGTTGGGAACTAGATCAGAGGGGCCTACCAGGCCTCATTCAGGGGAATGGGCTTGTGTGGCAGCTCCAGCAGCTTAGAAGATGGATTGGAGGGTGGAAAACTGAGAGACCAAAAAGCTTGGTTCCCCTCTGTGTGTCCACAGAGCACATCCTGCCCTGCATTTGGAAACCAGGCTTCAGCAGCCCAGATATGGGTGTCCCCATCCCTCCCACACTGAGCTCTACCACTGTCCCAGTGTCTCTCTAGAAGTGCCTGGCATGGAAGAAATGTTTGCTGAATGAATAAGAAAAACATCAACTGCCACTTATTCCTCAGTAGCACTTACCAGGTTCTGTAACTCATTATCTCACTTGATTTTCACCACATACCATGAAAGTATTCTCATTTTGCAAGTGGGAAACCTGAGATTCAGAAAGGTTAGTCAACTTTCCCAAGGTCAAGCAGCTTGAAAGCCTGAAGGCAAAGCCTTTATTGGTGCAGGAATGAATGAATGCGCACCAGCAATAAGGCAAGAAGAGGGTCAGTGGGGAGGTCTTCAGACCCTGAGCCTAGAATGAGCCATCCTCTCCCTGCAGCTGGTGGTAGGGGACCTTGGCCCTGGTGGGCAGCAGCCCCGCCTGAAGGTGCTCAAAGGACCACTGGTGATGACCGAAAGCCCACTACCTGCTCTGCCAGCTGCTGCTGCCACCTTCCTCATGGAGCAACATGAGCCCCGGACTCCAGCTCTGGCACTTGCTTCAGGCCCTTGTGTCTATGTGTATAAGAATCTCAGACCTTACTTCAAGTTCAGCCTGCCCCAATTGCCTCCAAATCCTCTGGAACAAGACCTTTGGAACCAGGCCAAAGAAGTAAATAACATGGGAGTTGGGAACCAGAAGGCAAAGATGGCAGCCACTGGGAGAGGAGGGCTGGGCTCCTGGGAAGAAGGTGGGCTGGTGGCAGGAGGTCAGTTATAGTCCATCTCTGACAGCAGCAGTGGTGGCACTTCTTTTTTTTTTTTTTTTTGAGACGGAGTTTCACTCTTGTTGCCCGGAGTAGAGTGCAATGGCGTGATCTTGGTTCACTGCAGCCTCCGGCTCCTGGGTTCAAGCAATTCTTCTGCCTCATCCTCCTGAGTAGCTGGGATTACAGGCACCAGCAACCACGCCTGACTAATTTTTTGTATGTTTTAGTAAGAGACAAGATTTTGCCATGTTGGCCAGGCTACTCTCAAACTCCTGGCCTCATGTGATCTGTCTGCCTCGGCCCCACAAAGTGCTGGGATTACAGGCATGAACCACCATGCCCAGCCTAGTGGTGGCACTTTTGGACAAGTTGCTGCACTTGGCTACTCAGCAGTGGCTCCCAGAGAGGCACTGAGCCAGTCCCCTTAGAGAGTGGAACCCAGAAAATTCCTCTGCACTAGCCACATCCCTGCCCAACTTTGAGGTAGATGAAACCAAATAAGGCAGGGGCCTATCAGAAGGAGGACTGGAAACACCAAGAGAGGAGGGGAATTTGGGGAAGCGCCGATAAATGGGATGATGAACATGGCCCTGAGACTGGATTCAGGTAACGGGCGTGAGCTTGGGGCTCAGTGCAGAGGCAGGCTGGCAGGGAGACAGAGACCAAGAGGTACCCCCAGAAGTGTGGAGCTCTCTGAGGGCATGGGCATTGGGTTTCCTGCCTGGCTTGAGCTCACAGGCTCACCCTTCTTCCACATTTTCACAGGACCGGATTGACCCCTTAACCCTGAAGGAGATGCTGGAGAGCATCCGGTGAGAGGCTGCCTTCCCCTTCATCCCCCTCCTCACTCCTTCATCCCATCTGAGCCCCAGGGCCCCATTCCTCCACTTGGCTGCCATGCTGGCCCCTTTCCTTGCAGGGAGACGGCAGAGGAGCCGTTGTCTGTCCAGTCACTCAGGTAAGGGCCCTGTGGAGGGCCAGGGTTTGGGAGGCTCCAGGTGGAGGAAGCAGCCACCAGATTGTGCCAGAATGATAGAGAAGGGCAGTGAGGCCGGGGCCTGCTGTGTGTCTCTGTGTGTTCTCTGTGTGTCTAGGTTTCTGCAGCTGGAGCTGAGTGAAATGGAGGCATTTGTAAACCAACACAAGTCCAACTCCATCAAGCGGCAGGTAATATCCCCTTCTCTTTTTATTTCCCTCTAAAAAAATTTACATTTTTTTAAAAGACCGCTTAACATCAGTGGTAAATTCTATAAGCAAACCCAACCAGTATCTCTTTGCTGTATTCCTTCCAGCCATGCCATGTGTGTGTAATCATAAAGCTGCAGTGCCTTCCGCATTCCAGTTAGTAGTGACAGGTTGTTTTGTATTTTTGTTGTTGTTGTTGTTGTTGTTGTTGTTGTTGTTTGAGACAGTCTTGTTCTCACCCAGGCTGGAGTGCAGTGGCATAACCTCAGCTTACTGCAACCTCTGTCTCCCAGGTTCAAGCGATTCTCGATTCTCCTGCCTCAGCCTCCCGAGTAGCTGGGATTACAGGCATGTGCCACCACGCCCGACTAATTTTTGTATTTTTAGTAGAGATGGGGTTTCGCCATGTTGGCCAGGCTGGTCTCCAACTCCTGACCTCAGGTGATCCGCCCGCCTTGGCCTCCCAAAGTGCTGGAATTACAGGCGTGAACCACCACACCCGGCTGACAGCTTTTTTTTTTTTTTTTTTTTTTTTTGAGACGGAGTCTCGCTCTGTCGCCCAGGCTGGAGTGCAGTGGCGCGATCTCGGCTCACTGCAAGCTCCGCCTCCCGGGTTCACGCCATTCTCCTGCCTCAGCCTCCCGAGTAGCTGGGACTACAGGCGCCCACAACCGCACCCGGCTAATTTTTTGTATTTTTAGTAGAGACGGGGTTTCACCGTGGTCTCGATCTCCTGACCTTGTGATCCGCCCGCCTCGGCCTCCCAAAGTGCTGGGATTACAGGCGTGAGCCACCGTGCCCGGCGACAGCTTTTAATATATAGATATATAGTCAGCAGGACACAGATTCTGAGAAAAAGATAGATACAAACATACATACATACATACGTACATACACAGATACATAGAAATAAAAAAAGATCATGTTACATACATTGCACATAACTTTTGTTTTCTTGAGAGTAAAGGTAATAGATTTTTATTACAGAAATTTTGGAAAAACAAAGAGGGGTATATAGGCCAAGTGCATTGACTCATGCCTGTAATCCCAGCACTTTGGGAGGCCAAGGAGGGGATAATTGGAGGCCAGGAGTTTGTGACCAGCCTGGGCAAGAAAAAAGCGAGACTTCTTTTTTAAGTTAGCTGGGTGTGGTGGCATGTGCCTGTAGTCCCAACTGCTCAGTAGGCTAAGGCAGGAGGATTGCTGGAGCCCAGGAGTTGAAGGCTGCAGTGAGCTATGATTGTGCCAGTGCACTTTAGCCTGGGCAACAGAGTGACGAGAACTTTTTTTTTGTTTTGAGACAGTCTCGCTCTGTCACCCAGTCCTGCCCCCACCACCCAGAAAAAGAGGGAAGTATAAAGGAGAAATATAAATATGACTGTAATTTCACTACTGAGAGATCCAAAAGATACCTATTCTTACCATTTTGATATATTTTCTTCGTAAGTATGCTTTTATATCCTGCTTCTCTTGAGTATGTAACATATTTTGAGCATTCGTCTTTAGGAACTTCATTGTTAATGGTCTCTTGATTATGTCACTGACTATTCAGTATTTCCTTCATACTTTGTTTATATAACCATTCACATCCAGGTCATTAGACAAATGTTTCCCTTTTATTCACTTCCTACTTTTTGTAGTTATAATTTTAATGCCTTTATTGATGAACCTATGCATTGGTGAGACCTAGTGGTTCTTTTTTTTTTTTTTTTTTTTTGAGATGAAGTCTTGCTCTGTAACCAGGCTAGAATGCAGTGTGATCTCAGCTCACTGCAACCTCTGCCTCCCGGGTTCAAGTGATTCTCATGCCTCAGCCTCCCGAATAGCTGGGATTACAGGTGCCCTCCACTGCGCCCGGCTAAATTTTGTATTTTTTAGTTAGAGATGGGGTTTCACCATCTTGGCCAGGCTGATCTCGAACTCCTGACCTCGTGATCACCTGCCTTGGCCTCCCAAAGTGCAGGGATTACAGGCATGAGCCACCACGCCCAGCCGATCTAGTGGTTCTTGACCTAGGGGCACCAACCCTCAGTCCAGGAACAGACTCCCAGAGCTGTCTTGCAGTTTAGAAAGCCCCATGGGAACCATCCACCCCATAGAGGCCACGCTCACTGAACACACTGACAAACACATGCCTCAGACTTTGGCTTGTGTTAGACCAATTCTGTGAGAAACACTGCTCTCTCCTGCTGATCAGCAGCTTTGACATCCACAGTTGTCAATATCTTTGAGTCCTTTTAAAATGGGGAAGTGAATTAATTACTGCTTAAAAGATGCAGTTTGGAGGGGGCAGTCTTCTCAAGTATCTGTCATGGTTACCACTCACATCTTTTTTTTTTTTTGAGACAGAGTTTTGCTTGTTGCCCAAGCTGGAGTGTAATGGCACGATCTCAGCTCACTGCAACCTCCGCCTCCTGGGTTCAAGCGATTCTCCTGCCTCAGCCTCCTGAGTAGCTGGGATTACAGGTGTGCACTACCACGTCCAGCTAATTCTTTGTATTTTTAGTAGAAATAGGGTTTCACCATGTTAGCCAGGCTAGTCTCCACTCCTGACCTCAGGTGATCTGCCCACCTTGGCCTCCCAAAGTGCTGGGATGACAGGCGTGAGCCACTGCACCCGGCCAACCACTCGCATCTTTGAGTTATCATTAACATTTGGAATGGGAATAGTTACCACTAGTATCTGTCCACATGTTTGTAAGCTTTCTCCTTCCATTAGGCACTGAAAATCATTCCTCTTTTTTCATCTTTTTTGGGGTAGGGTAAGGAGCTGGGTCTTCTTCTTTCACTGAGGCTGCAGTGCAGTGGTGTGATCGTGGCTCACTGCAGCCTCAAACTCCTGGGTTCAAGTGATCCTCCCCCTTCAACCTCCTGAGTAGCTGGGACCACAAGTGCATGCCACCACACCCAGCTAATTTTTTTTATTTTCATTTTTTGTAGAGATGGGATCTCACTATGTTGCCCAGGCTAGTCTTAAACTTCTGAGCTCAAGTAGTCCTCCCACCTCAGCCTCCCAAAGTGCTGATATTACAGGCATGAGATGCTGTGCCCAGCTGTCTTTTTCAATCTTGATGATAATCACACAATGAGCACCTTTATCTAAAGAAAAACATTTTGCAGCCGGGCGTGGTGACTCTTGCTTGTAATCCCAGCACTTTGGGAGGCCGAGGCGGGTGGATCACGAGGTCAGGAGATCGAGACCAGCCTGGCTAACACGATGAAACCCTGTCTCTATTAAAAATACAAAAAATTAGCCAGGCGTGGTGGCGGGTGCCTGTAGTCCCAGCTACTCAGGAGGCTAAGGCAGGAGAATGGCGTGACCCCGGGAGGTGGAGTTTGCAGTGAGCCAAGATCGTGCCACTGCACTCGAGCCTGGGTGACAGGGCAAGACTCTATCTCAAAAAAAAAAAAAAGAAAAACATTTTGCTTCTGCTAATTTCTGTAGGAGAAATTCCTTACAAAGGTGATCTTTTCTTTTTTGTTTTCCCTCCAATTATAATTACAAAAGAAACATGCGCCCACTGTAGAAATGATAGAAAGGCATCATGAGGAAATTAAACATCACTTGTGATATCACTGTCCAGCAATAACTAGTGTTTGTTTAAGGGTTTAGCCTTCCACATGTTTTTGTAGTCATATATTTTTTATTTTGAAATTTTTATTCTTTTTTTTTTTTTTTTTTTTTGAGACAGAGTGTCGCTCTGTTGCCAGGCTAGAGTGCAGTGGTGTGATCTCAGCTCACTACAATCTCCACCTCCTGGGTTCAAGTGATTCTCCTGCCTCAGCCTCCCAAGTAGCTGAGACTACAGGCTCACGCCACCACACCCAGCTAATTTTTGTATTTTTAGTAGAGATGGGGTTTTACCATGTTGGCCAGGATGGTCTCGATCTCTTGACCTCGTGATCTGCCTGCCTTGGCCTCCCAAAATGCTGGGATTACAGGCGTGAGCCACTGCACCCAGCTTATTCTTTTCTTTTTTAAGAGATGGGATCTCACCATGTTGCCCAGGCTGGTCTCAAACTCCTGATCTCAAGTGATCCTCCCACCTGGGCCTCCCAAAGTGCTGGGATTACAGGCACGAGCCACCTTATTTGGCCTATATTCACATATTTTTAAAACTAGGATTATACTAATGTAATTTTTTTTTCTTTTCATTTTTTTGAGATGGAGTTTCGCTCCTGTTGCCCAGGCTGGAGTGCAATGGCGCGATCTCAGCTCATCGCAACCTCTGCTTCCTGGGTTCAAGCGATTTTCCTGCTTCAGCCTCCCGAGTAGCTGCAAATACAGGCATGCGCCACCACGCCTGGCTAATTTTGTATTTTTAGTAGAGACAGGGTTTCTCCCTGTTGTTCAGGCTGGTCTCAAACTCCCAACCTTATGTGATCCGCCCACCTCGGCGTCCCAAAATGCTGGGATTATAGGCGTGAGCCACTGCGCCCAGCCTTTTATCTTCTTTTCTTTTCTTTTTTTTTTTTTTTGAGGTAGAGTCTCCTTCTGTCGCTGAGGCTTGAGTACAATGGCACGATCTCAGCTCACTGGAACCTCCACTTCCCGGGTCCAAGCAATTCTGCCTCAGCCTCCCGAGTAGCTGGGATTATAGGTACCCGCCATCATGCCGGGCCAAATTTTGTATTTTTGTAGAGATGGGGTTTCTTTTCTTTTTTTTTTTTTTTTTTTGAGATGGAGGCTTGCTCTGTCGCCCAGACTGGAGTGCAGTGACACCACCTCGGCTCACTGTAGCCTCTGCCTCCCAGGTTCCAGCTATCCTCCTACCTCAGCCTCCTGGGTCACTGGGATTACAGGTGCATGCCACCATGCCTGGCTAATTTTCATACTTTTAGTAGAGATAGGGTTTCACTATGTTTGCCAGGCTGGTCTCGAGCTCCTGACCTCAGGTGGTCTGCCCCCAAAGTGCTTGGATTATAAGGGTGAGCCACCACGCCCAGCTGAGATGGGGTTCCACCATGTTGGCCAGGCTGGTCTTGAACTTCTGACCTCAGGTGATCTGCCCGCTTAAGCCTCCCAAAGTGCTGGGCTTACAGGTGTGAGCCACCACGCCCAGCCCTTTTCTTTTCTTTCTTTCTTTTTTTTTTAAGACGGGGTCTTACTCTGTCAGTCAGGCTGGAATACAGTGGCAGGATTATAGCTCACTGGAGCATCGAACTCCTGGGCTCAAGGGATCCTCCTGCCTCAGCCTCCTGAGTACCTGGGACTACAGGTGCATGCCATCACACCCGGCTAATTTTTTATTTTTATTTTTTGTAGAGTTGGGGGTCTCATTTTGCTGCCCAAGCTGACCTGAGACTCCTGGGCTCATGCAATCCATCTGCCTTGGTCCCCAAAAGTGCTGGGATTACAGGCATGATCCACTGAGCCTGGCCCAAATATTCTTTTAAAATATGACTTTAAAAAAAATGACTTCAGCCGGGCATGGTGGCTCATGCATGTAATCCCAGCACTTTGGGGGCTGAGGCAGGTGGATCACAAGGTCAGGAGTTCAAGACCAACCTGGGCAACATGGTGAAACCCTGTTTCTACTAAAAATACAAAAATTAGCTGGGCATGGTGGCGTATGCCTATAATCTCAGCTAGTTGGGAGGCTGAGGCAGGAGAATCGCTTGAACCTGTGAGGCAGAGGTTGCAGTGAGCCGAGATTGTACCACTGCACTCCTGCTTGGGCGACAGAGTGAGACCCTGTCTCAAAAAAAAAAAAAAAAAAGACTACATAGTTTTTGATCATATGGATAGCTCATAATTGACTTAAGACAATCTTCTTTTGTTAGAAAGTTAGATTTGTTGCAGCAAACACCTTTGTACTTAAATTTTCTGTCACATCTCTGATATATCCTCTTCATCCTCCTTTGCTCTCTTTCTTTCCTCCTGTGGCATTCTGGGAGTATCTTGGGGGTGGTGTGTGGAGGTTCCCTGGGTGACCCCTGGAGTCCTTCTGTAGACAGTTATCACCACCATGACCACCTTGAAGAAGAACCTGGCTGACGAGGATGCTGTGTCTTGCCTGGTGCTGGGCACCGAGAACAAGGAGCTCCTGGTGCTTGATCCCGAGGCTTTCACCATTTTAGCCAAGGTCAGTGTCAGGTCTGACCCTGGGCACACTGGAGGCTCGGGCTACATTCTCTCCCCATGCTTCACAGTTAGTTCTGGGTGATATATATGTTCCTTGTAGAAAAATTAGAAACTAGATAAGCATAAAGAAAGATATATATCAAAAAATCCTGCCGCCCATGGATATATACAATTAAAGTTGAGGCATAGGTCTTTCTAGACATTTTCATATTTAGACATAGATATATAACTTGATGTAAATACTTAACTTTATGAAAACAGGATTAGCTGGGTGTGGTGGTCCATGCCTCTAACCCTAGTGCTTTGGGAGGCCAAAGCAGGAGGATGGCTTAAGCCCAAAAGTTTGAGGCTGCAGTGAGCTATGATTGTGGCACTGCACTCCAGCCTGGGTGACAGAGTAAGACCCTGTCTCTAAAAACAATAAGTAAATAAATAAATAAAAGCAGGAGGTTCATGTAGCATGTTCTTTTCATGTAGCAGTATATCATTGGTGTCTTTCTGTATCTATAAAACCACATCAGCCTTTTGTTTTTTTTTTGTTCTTTTTTTTTTTTGTTTTTGAGTCACCTGTGTCACCCAGGCTGGAGTACAGTGGCTCTATCTCAGCTCACTGCAGCTTCCACCTCCCGAGTTCAAGCAATTTTCATGCCTCAGCCACCTGAGTAGCTGGGACTGCAGGCATGCACCACCACTCCTGGCTCATTTTTGTATTTTTAGTAGAGATGAAGTTTCACCATGTTGGCCAGGCTGGTCTCAAATTCCTGACCTCAGGTGATCTCTGCATCTCAGCCTCCCAAAGTGCTGGGATTACAGGCGTAAGCCACCATGCCCAACCCCACATCAGCCTTTTTAAAGACCACACAATATCCATCATATAGAGGTACCATAATTCATTTATGCTGTCACCTATTGTACATTTAAATTGTTTTTCATTTTTTGCTATTAATACCAATGCTCTAGACTTTTTTACCCAAATATCCTTGCATGCTTCTTTGTTTGTTTTTGAGACAGTCTTGCTCTCTTGCCCAGGCTGAAGTGCAGTGGTACAATCTCAGCTTACTGCCACCTATGCCACCTGGGCTCAAGCAGTCCTCTCACCTCAGCCTCTCATCTGTGGGACCACCATGCCCAGCTAAGTTTTGTACTTTTGGTAGAGACAAAGTTTTGCCATGTTGGACAGGCTGGTCTCGAACTCCTGAGCTCAAGCGATCCAAAGTGTTGGGATTACAGGCGTGGGCCACCATACCCAGCTGCATGGTTAAGTACAGCATTAGGATGCAGTCCTAGAAGTGGCATTGTTTAGTCAAAAGGCACAGACAAGGCCGGGCGCAGTGGCTAACGCCTGTAATCCCAGCACTTTGGGAGGCCGAGGCAGGCGGATCATGAGGTCAGGAGATCGAGACTATCCTGGCTGACGTGGTGAAACCCCGTCTCTACTAAAAAATACAAAAAATTAGCCAGGCATGGTGGCGGGCACCTGTAGTCCCAGCTACTCGGGAGGCTGAGGCAGGAGAATGGTGTGAACCCAGGAGGCGGAGCTTGCAGTGAGCCGAGACTGTGCCACTGCACTCCAGCCTGGGCGACAGAGCAAGACTCTGTCTCAAAATAAATAAATAAATAAAAGACACAGAGTAAAAGGCTCTTGCTAAATGTTGCCCCAAGTTTCCCTCCTGAAAAATTGTATGAGTTTAAACTGGGTGTGAGTGAGGAGATTGGGACTTTAGACCAGGCACTCACTCAGAGGAGTTACTGACAGGGCAGGGAGGGATGGGGGATCCAGAGAAATTGGAGTGTTTGCACCTCTTCTTTGCAGATGAGCCTTCCCAGCGTCCCTGTCTTCCTAGAGGTTTCCGGCCAGTTTGATGTTGAGTTCCGGCTTGCCGCAGCCTGCCGCAATGGAAACATCTATATTCTGAGAAGGTAGCCACATCCATGGTCTCCGGGGCCGGTAGGAACATCTCAGAAAGCTGGTGGCTTCAGAGGCTTGCAAGATGAGAGTGGGTTTTAAGGCTGGAATTTGGAAATGCAAAGAACTGAGAACTTCATAAAGGAGGCTGAACCCACAAGCACAAGGAGGATACCTGAAGGCTTGTGAGATAGGGGCTGGCACAGTGAGAGACTAGGCTGGGTGGCTATAGTACGGGAGTGATCAGAGATGAGAGGATAGGCTGGGCGCGGTGGCTCACACCCGTAATCCCAGCACTTTGGGAGGCCGAGGCAAGTGGATCACCTGAGGTCAGGAGTTCAAGACCAGCCTGGCCAACATGGTGAAACCCCATCTCTACTAAAAATACAAAATTAGCTGGGCGTGGTGGTGCACGCCTCTAGCTCCAGCTATTTGGGAGGCCGAGTTAGGAGAATTGCTTGAACCCGGGAGGTGGAGGTTACAGTGAGCCAAGATCGCACCACTGCACTCCAGCCTGGTTAATAGAGCGAGACTCCGTCTCAAAAAAAAAAAAAAGGACCAGGCGTGTTGACTCACGCCTGTAATCCCAGCTCTTTGGGAGGCCGAGGCGGCGGATCACGAGGTCAGGAGATCGAGACCATCCTGGCTAACACAGTGAAACCCTGTCTCTACTAAAAATACAAAAAATTAGCCGGGCGCGGTGGCAGGCGCCTGTAGTCCCAGCTACTCAGGAGGCTGAGTCAGGAGAATGGCATGAACCTGGGAGGTGGAGCTTGCGGTGAGCTGAGATCACACCACTGCATTCCAGCCTGGGTGACAAAGTGAGACTCCGTGTCAAAAAAAAAAGAAAAGAAAACAGATGGGAAGAAATAAAAAAAAAATTTCCCATATTTGTTACTTTCCAGGGTACATGACATGACACTTGTTTATGCATTAGTTTAATATTCCATATAACATGCTTTTTTTTTTTTTCTTTTTTTGGAGACAGAGTCTCACTTTGTCACCGAGGCTGGAGTGCAGTGGCACGATCTTGGCTCACTGCAACCTCCGCCTCCCAGGTTCAAGCGATTCTCCTGTCTCAGCCTCCTGAGTAGCTGGGACTACAAGTGTGCGCCACCACACCTGGCTAATTTTTGAATTTTTAGTAGGGATGGGGTTTCACCACATTGGCCAGGCTGGTCTTGAATGCCTGACCTCGTGATCCACCCGCCTTGGCCTCCCAAAGTGCTGGGATTACAGGCATAAGCCACCACGCCCAGTCTAAAATGCATTTTTAAAATTCAATAAATATTTATTGAGCACCTACTATGCATTATGCAGTGTGTGGTATTAGGGATATATTGATGAACAAGATAAATATGGTCCCTGTCCTTGTGGGGAAGACAGATATATTAAAGTGAAGAAACCAAGATATTCCTACAAATTGGATGAGTGCTATGGAGAAAAAATACAAGCTCAGTGGGGAAAAATACTGGATAAGGGTGATCAGGAACACCTCTCTGTGGAGGTGGCTTGAAGGTTAAGATGGAACCAGTTGTTGAGAAATTTGGGAAGAGTGTTGTAGGCCAACTCAAAGCGGGAAAGACATTGGCGTGTGCTTCTCGAATAGGGAGGAACTAACTGTACTTTCTGGAAAGGGAAACTACAATTGAGAGGCCAGTAAACTAAAAACTACATTGACACAGGGCAAAGCTCTTCAGCCTTTTCTCATAATAAAGTGCCTAAGTCCACTTGTCCTGGCTAGTCCAGCCAAAGGTAAACTCACTGAAAACTCTGTTAAATGCCAGATGATCATACAAGCCACTATAGTGAAGGTGGGAGAAGATAAGCCACCATAGTGAAGGTGGGAGGAAGACACACTTGAGCTTTTCCAAGGCCACACATTTACTAAGGTGGCAGAGGTGGAAATAATCCCAGGGTCATACGCTTTGGGGCCAGTGTTCCTCCCAGGTGAGTCCATGGGGTTTAGAGAGAGGAGGGTCAGCCATGGAAGTGCAGACAATTTCTCTGGGGCCGGACAGTGTGTCGTTTATTCCACAGAGACTCCAAGCACCCCAAGTACTGCATCGAGCTGAGCGCCCAGCCTGTGGGACTTATCCGGGTACACAAGGTCCTAGTGGTGGGCAGTACCCAAGACAGCCTGCACGGCTTCACCCACAAGGTGCGGCCCCCAGCAAACAGCAGCCCCTCCACGCCTATGTCCCCAACGCCCCCTTGGCAAGGAAGCCCTCTGGCTTCCCCACCCCAGAAACTCTTCTTTCCACTGTAAGCCCTGAGCCCTCCACAGACACTGGCTGTTCCCTGCCAGGGGAAGAAGCTGTGGACAGTGCAGATGCCTGCAGCCATCCTGACCATGAACCTCCTGGAGCAGCATTCCCGGGGCCTGCAGGCCGTCATGACTGGGCTGGCCAACGGAGAGGTCCGCATTTATCGTGACAAGGCCCTTCTCAACGTCATCCACACGCCGGTGAGCCCCATCTGTGGCATCTGCCACTCACTCCTCCTTGCCCTGGTCTCACCTCTGGGGCTTCTTAGCTGCCTCTCCCGACCACACATTGATGCATTTCAAAAACATTTGTTGAGGCCAGGCGCAGTGGCTCACACCTGTAATCCCAGCACTTTGGGAGGCCAAGGTGGGCAGATCACCTGAGGTCAGGAGTTCAAAACCAGCCTGGCCAACATGGCATAACCCCCTTGCTACTGAAAATACAAAAATTAGCTGGGCATGGTGGCACGTACCTGTAATCCCAGCTACTCAGGAGGCTAAGGCAGGAGAATCGCTTGAACCTGGGAGGCAGAGGTTGCAGTGAGCCGAGATCACATCATGGCACTCCAGCCTGGACAACAGAGCGAGACTCCATCTTAAAAAAAAAAAAAAAAAAGTGTTGAGCACCTCATATGTACAAGTCACCATATTGGTAGGCGTGGGAGGGTGTAAAATGATGACTAAGTCCTTGTTTTCAGAAGGCTTACAGTCTAAGGTAACAGCCAGCCAGAGACACAGCAAATTTAAAAGCAGGGCCAACTGAAGCAGAGCAAAGTGCTAAAAAGCGCAGAGGGGGCTGAGTGACAAGGGTGGGGGGTGAGATAAATGGGAATGGACTCCATGGGACACTTCACAGAACAAGTGACAGTTCAGCTGGGCCTCAAAACAGTTTGTCAGGTGGACAAATGGAGGAAGAACATTCTGCACAGAGAATAGCATGAATAAAGCCTGAGAAGTATGAAGGCTCTTGATTAAGGAATCCAGGTCATTTGATGAGTTTGGACCAGAGGTTTTCAGACTCTAAGTTGTGAATCATTAAATCAGTTTAGTGGATCACAACCAGCAACATTTTAAAAAATAGAATAGTAAATTCAAAGTATGTCACAAGTGAGGGCCGGGCACACTATCCCACGCCTGTAATCCCAGCACTTTGGAAGGTCGAGGCAGGTGATCACAGTTCTAGAACAGCCTGGCCAACGTGGTGAAACCCCATCTCTACTAAAAATAAACAAATTAGCCAGGTGTGATGGCACACACCTGTAATCCCAGCTACTTGGGAGGCTGAGGCAGGAGAATTACTTGAACAATGGAAGGCGAAGGTTGGAGTGAACTGAGATCGCACCACTGCACTCCAGCCTGGGCCACAGAGCAAGACTCTATCTCAAAACAAAAAAACAAAACAACAAAAACAAATAAATAATTACAAATGCAAATACAAAAATTAGCCAAGCATGGCAGTGCACGCCTATAATCGCAGCTACTGGGAAAGCTGAGGCAGAATCACTTGAACCCAGGAGGCGGAGGTTGCAGTGAGCTGGAGATCGTGCCACTGCACTCCAGCCTGGGCGATGAAGTGAGACTCTGTCTCAAAAAAAAAAAGTATGTCACAAGTGAAACTGTGTGTGTGCATGTGTGCACCTGTGTGTGTAAATTGTCCCATGTCACAATATAAAAGTTGCAAACAACTGGCTTGGGCCATAGGTGCTGGGAGGGCTGGTGGTATGCTGGTTGAAAGAAGGGTAAAGAAGAGAGAACTGACAGAAAAGGCGGGTTGGAGTCAAATGTTGAAGGCCTTCAGTGTCCTAACAAAGAGGACAAAAGCCATTGGAGGTTTTCTAGTAGAGACCAGACATATTTGTGTTTTTGAAAGGTAGCAAAGGCAGCATTGTGAAGGACAGACTGGGGAGAAAGACCCGAAAGACAAGTCTGGGAGACCTATTTGGAGGCTGACCACAAAAGTGAGGGCCGGTGATATGTGGTCTAGAACTGAGATAGTGAGATTGGAGTGGAGATGAGAAATATAGGAACTATTTCAGAGGCAGTGATGCCCCAGGCCTATCTCTATCACTTCTCACCTATTACATCTGGGGCCTCCCCTACCCATCCCCTGTCTTGCTTGCCTCTCCAAGATATTTCCCCAGCTAAACTCTGACGTCTCCACATAGGATGCAGTGACCAGTCTTTGCTTTGGCCGCTACGGGCGGGAGGACAACACCCTCATCATGACCACTCGAGGTGAGTGGAGTCAGACCTGGCAAGGGCTCTGGAGTCGGGAGTGAAGGGACAGGGCTGCTTCTGGGGAAAGAGGAGAAGGTGGGTATGAAGCATGGGTGGACCTGGGTGTGGAAAGCAAGGCCTACAGATGTGTCCTTCTGGAGCTAGGCCTCCACCGGGACAGCCTAGGGGCCGGGTCCTGGGCTGGATTCAGTCTCTCTAGTTCACCCAGCATGCCCAGGCATTGTGCCTGCCACAATGCCAGGCACATCACAGTACTCCACAAATAACTGCTAAATGGATTAATGAATTAATGATGGGAGACTATTAAGATGCAGTTCATTACTTCCAGAAATAGTCTCATCTGGAAGACAGATGTGTACGGAAGCAACTCTATAGGAGGCAGATTGGGGAAGAAAGAATGGGAATGTAGGTAGAAGTAGGGAGGACAAATCCATTTCCACTGTCCACTTCCCTAGGTGGTGGCCTGATCATCAAGATCCTGAAGCGTACAGCAGTGTTTGTAGAGGGAGGAAGTGAGGTGGGTCCCCCACCAGCCCAGGCCATGAAACTCAACGTGCCCCGAAAGACCCGGCTTTACGTGGATCAGACACTGCGAGAGCGGGAGGCTGGCACTGGTGAGACTCAGACTGGGTCCTTTCCCTTCTTCTTCCTCCATTACTCCTACACAGCAAAGCTGGGGGAGTGCTGCCTAGCCACCCTGTGTAGTGGGAGGAGATCTCAGCCAACTAGGCAGGTCACTCGCCTCTGGAAATCCAGGGACAGCCTAGGAGGTACATCTTGCCTGCAAATCACTGTTCCTCAGGCCGGAAGGTGCTGTGGGTGACAGCAAGAACGCTTAGAATTCAGGGAAGGGAACAGTCACTTCCAAATGCAGGAATTCTCATGAGGAAAGTAGAATTTTGGCTGGGTATGGTGGCTCATGCCTGTAATCCCAGCATTTACAGAGAGTCAGAGGTGGGGGGACAGCATGAGTCCAGGAGTTCAAGACCTACTTGGGTAACATAATGATACTTCTTTCCCCCGCCAAAAAAAAAGAGAGAGAGAGAAAAGTAGAATTTGACCAGTGTCTTCTTGTCCAGTTTTTCCTGCCCACTTGTTTATTTGTTCATTCATTCATCGTTCGTTCATTCATTCACTCATTTAGTACCTATGATTATGCCAGGCCTTGTGCCAGATGCCTTGAATTAGAATAGTCCCCACCTTGGGCCGGGTGTGGTGGCTCACGCCTATAATCCCACCACTTTGGGAGGCCGAGACAGGCAGATCATGAGGTCAGGAGTTCAAGACCAGCCTGGCCAATATGGTGAAACCCCATCTCTACTAAAAATACAAAAATTAGCCAGGCATGTTGGTGTGCACCTATAGTCCCAGCTACTTGGGAGGCTGAGGCAAAAGAATCGCTTGAACCCAGGGGGCGGAGGTTGCAGTGAGCCAAGATCGTGCCACTGCACTCCAGCCTAGGCAACAGAGCGAGACTGTCTCAAAAAAACAACAACAACAAAAAAAACAAGAATAGTCCCTACCTTAGGAACTCATGAAGGGGCCAACTTCGTGATGAGGTGTAGAAGGGGTTTCTGCAAAGAGCTTTTGGAGCACACAGAGGGAGTAAGGACTTCTGCCTGGGAAGCTTGGGAAAGGCTTCAGAGCGAGGTGACTTTGGGCTTCACCCTAAAAGATGATTGCCAGACCCCCAGACAGGGCAGAGCAGGGTAATGTAGGCAGAGGCACAGGGCGTTGACCTGGATTTAAGAAAGCAGGTTCAGTTCAGTGGCTCACGCCTGTAATCCCAGCTCTTTGGGAGGCCGAGGCAGGCGGATCACCTGAGGTCAAGAGTTCGTGACCAGCCTGGCCAACATGGTGAAACCCCCTTGCTACTAAAAATACAAAATTAGCTGGGCATGGTGGCATGCGCCTGTAATGTCCTGAGGCAGGAGAATCACTTGAACCCAGGAGGCAAAGGTTGCAGTAAACCAAGATCACACCACTGCACTCCAGCCTGGGTGACAAGAGCGAGACTCCATCTCAAAGAAAAAGAAAATGTACAAAGTCTAATAAAATTGTAAAACTATCTTCAAGAACAGAAAAGACCACCTTCAAGAATGCTTAAGTGGAGAGATTTACCAAGTTGCAGGATGGGAAGACCTAATGCTGTAAAGCTTTAAGTTGCAGTTAAAATCCCAGTGGGGTTTAAGAACCTGGCCAGTTGATTCAAAGAGTAAACCTAAGAAGATCGGGGAAAATAAGAATGAGGGGACTTACCCTATCAGGTAGCAAAATGAACTCAAGCTTTGGGAATCAGAAGCTGTGGTGTGGATGTAGAAATAGAATGGAGATCGGGGCAGGATTAGGAAGTCCAGAAACTGACCCTGAACATGTGGAAAGTCAGAGTGTGTGAAAGGTGTCATTTTGAATTGGCAGGGAAATGTGAGACTGTCCAAAAACACACAATCAGGACAACTTGCTTCTAGAAAAGAAAATTAGACCTTTTCGGCCAGGCACAGTGGCTCATGCCTGTAATCCCAGCACTTTGGGAGGCCAAGGTGGGCGGATCACCAGAGGTCAGGAGTTCGAGACCAGCTGACCAACGTGGTGAAACCCCATCTCTACTAAATACAAAAAATTAGCCAGGCTTGGTGGCGCATGCTTGTAATTCCAGCTACTTGGGATGCTGAGGCAGGAGAATTGCTTGAACCCGGGAGGCAGAGGTTGCAGTGAGCTGAGATCGTGTCATTGCACTCCTGCCTGAGCAACAAGAGTGAAACTCCATCTCAAAAAAAAAGCAAGAAAATCAGACCTTTTCTTCATATCGGCCACAAAAATTAGTTCTGGATAGATTAAAAATAAATTGTAAAAGTACTGGAGAAAAAGGGCATAAAATGTGAAACTTGGAATGGCAGAAGCCACCTCACACCCACGGAAGAGCGAGGCCGGCCTGGGGGACCGGGGTGCCCAGTCTGGAAGAGGAGGGACAGTGGGGTGGGCGCGGGGTGGGCCCTGGAGGCAGCTTAGGGAAGAGTCATGTGATCCTGCAAACGGTGAGATGTGAGGGGTGGACCTAGGTGACTTGATGGACAGGGAGGCAGTGACGGAGGCAGGACCATGAGGCTGGTTTCCACAGCATTGGGCCTGAGGTGTTGATGGGACTTCCCCGTGGAGATGAGCAGGAGGCAGGCGCGGGTGCTCACTAAGCTGCTGGAGACACATGCACAATATCGAGCATGGACACTGAGGACTCAGGAGGAATGTGGGGCCTGCCCTCAGGAGCTCGTGGCTGTTCCTCTTTGTGGTGGTCAGAGCTGTGGCAGGACACAGATTGTCTGGGGGAAGAAGATGGAGGATGAGAAGAGGACCATGGACCAGACTCAGAACAACAGCCTCTAGGGCCAGACAGAGGAGCCAGCGAAGGAGCTAGACAGTGCGGGCAGGGAGGTGGTAAGAGAGTGAGAAGAGGCAGGGCAAGGCCACAGCATCCAGTTTTGCCAGAAGGCTGGGCTCTTTCCCACCTCCCCAGCTCCTGCAGACCCCTCCCGCAGCACCCTCTTCTTGCACCCTCCCCACACCAGCCTGAGCAGGAGTGCCCTGTTGCTGCCTCCTCCCTGCCACCCCTACATCCACCGTTAGCCTCTGGGACCCTTCTCCACAGCCATGCACCGGGCCTTCCAGACAGACCTATACCTGCTGCGCCTGCGGGCTGCCCGTGCCTACCTGCAGGCCCTCGAGTCCAGCCTGAGCCCCATGTCCGCGACAGCCCGAGAGCCACTCAAGCTGCACGCCGTGGTGAGCATCTGGGTGAGGACAGAGTCAGGGCCAGAGGGGCAGAGGCCAGGGTGCGCAGGAACCCCTCTGCCACACAGCTAAGCCCCAGAGCCAATTCCAAGCCAACTCAGCCCGTGCTCCCCATCACCTTTCAGCAGACCTGGGGACGAGTCTCGTGTCCTCCTTGGTGAGAGCAGCCTCACCTTCCCACCCTCCTGTGCCACCTCTCTCCTCGGCTGGTCATGCCGAGGGTCCAGCTCAGGCCCCCAGAGTAGTCACATTGGGATATTTCTTCCCAAGAACCTGATGGGATCCTTACACCTATGGAACAGGGAAGAAGGCTGTCACTTTGGTAACTGTGGGCAGCCCAACGTGTTAGGACTGCTGGGTACAGGGAAGGGGCCATCCTGGCCTCAACTGCAAGCACCGAGACCAGCACGGGCACAATGAGGAGCCCGCAAGGCTCAGACGCAAATGAGCTTAGGATCAGCAGGGCTCTGACCAGCTCTAAGTGTGTCCCTGAGGTGTGGCATCTGACCCAACCAGGTTCTGAGTTCTCTTTTCCTAAAGAGTGGATAGTTGGAGAGGAGGAAGAGGCTACGAGGCAACTCCGGGGAAGCGGGAGAAAAATGAACTAATCAAGGCTACCCTAGGATGAAAGTGGGAGGTGGAACAGGCAGGGGGTGGGGTGAGGGGCTCAGGGTGAGAGTCGAGGCCTGCAGTCCCAGGCCAGCTCTGCCTCTGACTTGCTGCCTGGCCTCCCTCAGGCTCTCACCCTCTCTGGCCTCTTCTGATCCCTCTGCCCCTTCTGGTCTTCTGTGTCTGCTGGGAGGCAGATTGAGTAGGAGGAGGGGACATGAGGGCATTGGTGGAAGGAAGGCAGAGCACTGTACTCCGTGCCCAAGGCTGCCAGGTCCTAAGGGCTTTCTCCACCCACCCCCTCTATAGGTTCAGGGCCTTGGCCCCACCTTTAAGCTCACACTTCACCTGCAGAACACCTCGACAGCCCGTCCCGTCCCGGGGCTGCTGGTCTGCTGCTTGTACAACGAGGCGCTCTATTCCCTGCCCCGGGCCTTCTTCAAGGTACTGGATGCTCCTCACTTACATATGGAGTGGAAAAGGCCAGCAGGGGCCTGATGAGATGCCCACAGAGCCCCACCAGGTCAGGGTCAGAGCATGTGGGTGGCTGCCAGCTGGCCAGCAAACCTATTCTCCCACCACAGACCAGGCCAAGGCCCCAGCAGGGGCCTCTGGAGGGAGCCCCAAGCTCTACCTCTGCTGCTTTTCTTGCAGCCTGTGAGGGGTCTCCAGGAGCCATACCAAAGGTGCTAGGAAAACTGCCAGAGCCTGAGCCCCACCTACACCTCCCAGAAGCCTTTTAGGGGCTGGGGGACCCCAGAGCCCACCCTGCTGCCCAGCTACTCCTGCAACAGGAAGAGGAGACTACGAGCATCGCCCACAGAGTGAAGGGCCTGGTTTTCCCCTAGGGCCCAGGTCTGACCCCAAGTTGGCAGGACCAGACTGCGAAAGACTGGAATATGCAGTAAACAGCCCCAGACTGGGCGGGAGTCCAGAGGTCTAGGTTTCATCACTCACCATGTGGCCCTGGGGCATTCACTTCCTCACCACACCTGCATCCTCCTCCAGCCAGCAGTTGTCTTGCCCACCCTGCAGGGGTGCCGAGGCTTAGCAGAGACTGGGCCTGAATGCACTTGGGAATGTGCCAAACACTGTCACGAGGGCTGGTTTCCTTACTTCTTTGTCCCCAAACTTAGGTACCCTTGCTGGTGCCCGGGCTCAACTACCCCCTGGAGACCTTTGTGGAGAGTCTCAGTAACAAGGGCATCTCAGACATCATCAAGGTAGGCGCCACACTTGTACCATGTGGAAGGTAAGTGGGACCCTGGGGAGGACAGTCAGGGTGAGTGCCAACAAAGCCCTTGGGGGGCTGCCGGGTGGGGGTGGGGGTATCTGCACAGTGGAGCCCTATGGCCTGTTATTAGGGCCAGCGCAGACCCTAATGGCAAGGGGTCAGGGGTGCATGCCCCCTGCTGCCATGGCCACTCCTCCATAGGTGCTGGTGCTTCGAGAAGGCCAAAGTGCACCCTTGCTGAGCGCCCATGTCAACATGCCCGGGAGCGAGGGGTTGGCGGCCGCCTGAGCCCTCGGCTGCTGTGAAAGCCCCTGTACAATCAGCCAGGGAGAACTGGGCAGGTTCAATGGCCCCAGGCCCACTCCTCACACAGCAGTGTGCTGGGGTGATACCTTGTTTCCCCTCTCCTAAGCACCCCCTTCCTCACCACCCCCACTGCTGGGCCTATAGTAGCAGGTTAGTGAGTACCCAGGAAGGCTCAACTCCTCCTCCTCCGACCAACCAGGCATGGTCCCGCTGAGGTCCTGCTACGCCATCCCCTCCCCAGCCTTTTCCAGAAACCATACCGGGCTCGGAACAGAGCTCCAAAGCGGTCAAATTGAGCTGAGCAGGACAGGCGCAGCCTTTCTCCACTGCCACATCCCTCATGCACATCACTCATCTCCCGCTGCAGGCCAAGGCCAAAATTGGGCTAGTCCTGGCCAGGGAGATCAGAAGCTCTTCTGGGGTGAGACTGAGCCTCCTGTTGCTCCCTGGAGTTCCAGAGGCTGGGCTGCAGCCCACTTAGCTTTTGGGCAAAACATGTGCTCTCCTCTCTGCTTGTCAGCTGAGCAAGCCCAGGGAATAGCCCTCATCTCCCCAAGACACTTCTCTGAAATCTTAGACTTAGCCAGTCTCAGGCCTATAATGCCACAAAAAGGTTGTTCAGGGAGAAGGGGGTGCAGGAGGGCAGAGGGTGCCCCGCAGGGAGCTGGTAGCTCCAGCCTCACTAGAGCTCCTAAAGATCACACAGCAGCTGCTCCTGACAGGGATGCTCATGCCCAGAAAGAAACCCCAGGAGAGGAAGGCAGAGCGAGACAGAGCAGAGCCAGGGTCAGGAGCACCAGGAGAGGTGTTTCTGGGGCTCCGGGGAGGTGCCACAGGAGGCAGAAGTCCAGAACTGCCCATATAGATGCCCTTCTATGTCCTGGGGCCCAAATCAGTCCTGGGTGGGAAGTTCCCAGGGCAGTGGCCACATCATGAGAATTAGCAGGAAAGGCGGGGCCTTTCTCATCATAGCTGTTTCTGAGGATGAAATGGGAGACATATGCCCAGCACCTGATGTAAATTTATGTCATGTAATACTATGTACCTACCACTAAGAAATACATGAGCCACGCCATGTGGACAGTAAGTGTTCATAAAGCAACGTGAAGCAAGAAACAGTGCAGGGTGCCCAGTGCACACACTAGAGAGAAATTGTGGACATTAAGCACAAGCAGAATTGGTGTTTTTCTAAAACATAATTATTTAAAAACATGTATCCACTTACTAATGTGGAATTACACAGTTTGTAACAAGAAAACAGTCTCCCCATTCTCTAGTACAGCTCCCCTACCCAGCAGTCACTTCTAGTTCGTTCAGCTATTTTTAAAATGTGCTTATGTGACTCTTGCTTGATAGATGAATCTTAGGCATTACCTGTTGACTCCCTGTTGTCATACATGAGGCTTTAGCTCTCTTTTGTCAGCACCCCTCCCCCATCCCTAGTTATTAGGTTAAAAAATACTCAGATTACTATTTCTATTACTATGTGAAAGTTATTAACTGCGGAGCCAAGAGTTGGACTATAATTAAATTACCTTCCTTGTACTGTTTTTTAAATGGAGTTAATGAGTTGCCCTGAGTTTCTCATTTACTTTGTTTTCTGATGGGCCAATTGCTAATTCTTCCCCTACCGTCTGACAGCTCCTCTTTTTTCTAGACACTTCCCTTCATCCCCTGCTTCACTGAGGACTGTTTGTTCTCCAGGTAAATTCCCTTTGCCTTTCTCCTGGGCTAGATCCTGATTCCTGGGCCCAGTGGCTTCCTATTTCTCAGTTCACCCTCATTTGGTGAAACATATCCTCAAATATCTTCTTTTAAAAGTTGTGGCCAGAGAAGGCCGGGCGCCGTGGCTCACACCTATAATCCCAGCACTTTGGGAGGCTGAGGTGGGCAGATCACAAGGCCAGGAGTTTGAGACCAGCCTGGCCAACATGGTGAAAACCCATCTCTACTAAAAATACAAAAACTAGCTGGGCATGGTGGCAGGTGCCTGTAATCCCAGCTACTTGGGAGGCTGAAGCAGGAGAATTGCTTGAAACAGGAAGGCAGAGGTTGCAGTGAACCAAGATTGCGCCACTGCACCACTCTAGCCTGGGCAAGAGCAAAACTCTGTCTCAAAAAAAAAAAAAAGCAAAACTCTGTCTCAAAAGAAAAGAAAAAAAAAAGTCATTAGAGGCCAGGTATAGTGGTTAACACTTGTAATCCCAGCCCTTTGAGAGGCCAAGGCAGGAGGATCACTTGAACCCATAAGCTGGAGACCAGCCTGTGCAACATGGTGAGACCCTGTCCCTATCAAAAAAAAAAAGTCGTTAAGAGTTTTTAAAGATTTTTTTATTTATTCATTTTATTTATTTTTATTTATTTATTTATTTATTGAGACGGAGTCTCGCTGTCGCCCAGGCTGGAATGCAGTAGCGCCATCTCAGCTCACTGCAAGCTCCGCCTCCCAGGTTCACGCCATTCTCCTGCCTCAGCCTCCCAGTAGCTGGGATTACAGGCACCCGCCACCACGCCTGGTTAATTTTTTGTATTTTTAGTAGAGACAGGGTTTCACTGTGTTAGCCAGGATGGTCTTGATCCCCTGACCTTGTGATCCGCCTGCCTCAGCCTCCCAAAGTGCTGGGATCACAGGCGTGAGCCACCACGCCCGGCCACCATGCGTTCCTATCATTTGCTGTGCTGTGGGTGGAGATGTGCATCCTTCAGCTCCAGGAAACTATACTGCTGTTGTTTTGTGGGTGAGTCCCACCCCCCTGCCTTTGTTTTTTCTATTCTCTCTAGAACTCCAGTTAAGCCCCAAAATTATAAAATTACAAAAATTAACTAGACATGGTGGCATGCACCTGTGATGCCAGCTACTTGGGAAGCTGAGGTAGGAGAATCACTTGAACCTGGGAGGCGGAGGTTGCACTGAGCTGAGATCACGCCACTGCACTCCAGCCTGGGCAACAAGAGTGAAACTCCATCTCAAAAAATAATAATAATAAAAATATTTGACATGAAGGCTGCCCAGTAATTTAAAAAAAAAAAACTATAACAAACATTTAATGGTGAAATATTGAACTTATTACCTCTAAGGTGAGAAACAAGGGTGTCTGCTACCTGCACTCCACATTATATAGTAGTCTCACCCATACAGATGGGCAAGAAAATTAATAGGTATAAAAATTAAAAAGGGCTGGGCATGGTGGCTCACACCTATAATCCCAGCACTTTGGGAGGCCTAGGCAAGAGGGTCAGTTGAGCCCAGGAGTTCAAGATCAGCCTGGGCAACATGGTGAAACTGTCTCTACAAAAAATAAAAAAATTAGCCAGGCGTGGTGGTGCATGCCTCTAGTCCCAGCTACTCGGGAGGCTGAGGTAGAAGGATTGATTGAGCTCAGGAGGTGGAGGCTGCAGAGAGCCATGATCGCGCCACTGCACTTCAGCCTGGGTAACAGAGACCCCATCTCAATAAAAAAGTTTTAGGTTTATTGGACACAAGTGTTTTTTAGGGGATGTTTGTTTGTTTTTGAGACAGAGTCTCCCTCTCTCGCCCAGGCTGGAGTGTGCTGGCGCGATCTTGGCTCACTGCAACCTCTGCCTCCCAGGCTCAAGCGATTATTCTGCATCAGCCTCCCGAGTAGCTGGGATTATAGGCATGCACCACTGCACCTGGCTAATTTTTGTATTTTTAGTAGAGATGGGGTTTCGCCATGTTGGCCAAGCTGGCCTTGAACTCCTGACCTTGGGTGGTCTGCCTGCCTTAGCCTCCCAAAGCGCTGGGATTACAGGAGTGAGCCACCACGCCTGGCCTGGACAGAAATTTTGTTTTGGTTTTGGTTTTGGTTTTTTTTGAGACAGAGTCTAGCTCTTGTCACCCAGACTGGAGTGCAGTAGCACAATCACAGCTCACTGCAGCCTCGACCTGCTGAGCTCAAGCCATCCTCTCACCTCAGCCCACCCCATCCCCCACACTATAGACGCACCACCACACAAGGCTTTTTTTTTTTTTAATGACACAGGGTCTCGCTTTGTTGTCCAGGCTTGTCTCAAACTCCAGGCCTCAAGTGATCCTCCTGCCTCAGCCTCCCAAAGCATGGGATTACAGGTATGAGCCACAGTGCCCAGCCTCCACTAATTTTGTATTTTGTAGAGACAGGGTCTCACTATGTTGCCCCGGCTCACAGTCTATTTTGATAGTGCATGTATAATTAATAGCATAAAATATCAGATACTTAAGAATTAATACAATTTAAAAAGGCATGATCTTTATGGGAAAAGCTATACAACTTTATTGAAAACATGGAGTGGAAAAATAAACCCTGCTCATGAATGGGAAAATTCAATTTTACATAGATGCTGATTTTATCCAGACTGATCTATAGATTCAACTGGATTCCATTCTCCATCTCAAGGGGTTTTTTGGGGAAATTTGACAAGCTGATTCTCAAGGTTACATAGAAGAGCAAGGGCCAAGACTAGAGCTTAGGAGATGACTCCCAAAGGGCACAGGGACAGAAAAAATGACCAGTGGAACCAAAAAGAAAAATTAATTGTGGTATTTCAGTGGATCACTATGCAGCAGGGAAAAGGAATGCCATACAGCTACACACAGTAATCCAGATACATCTCAGCAACATAATCAAGTGAAAAGGCAAACTGTAAAAGAATAAACTCAGCATGATTTCATTCATACATTTGAAAACATGCAAAGCCAACACAAACACATTAATAAAACTATAAAGCAAAGCAATGGAATGACTGAAACAGGACCGTGTCTCCCCCACCAGGGAGGGGCAACAGCAGGAACTTCGAAGGAAATGGTAACCTTCTCAAATGCAGTGGGGGCTGTTGTTTCCTCTGAATTTTATAAATGTGTTCTAGTAGCTACTCACTAATTAAAACAACAAACAAACAAACATGAGTCCAGGCACAGTGGCTCACGCCTGTGATTCCAGCACTTTGGGAGGCCAAGGTGGGCAGATCACCTGAGGTCAGGAGTACAAGACCAGCCTGACCAATATGGTGAAACCCCATCTCTACAAAAATACAAAAATTAGCAGGGCGTGATGGTGGCTGCCTGCAATCCCAGCTACTCGGAAGGCTAGGGCAGGAGAATCACTTGAACCCAGGAGGCAAAGGTTGCAGTGAGCCAAGATCACGCCACTGCACTCCAGCTTGGGCAACAGAGCGAGGCTCCATCTTGAAAAACAAAACAAAACAAAACAAAAAACATGAAAATAAGATATTGTGGGCCGGGCATGGTGGCTTACACCTGTAATCCTAATACTTTGGGAGGCCGAGGCAGGTGGATCACCTGAGGTCAGGAGTTCCAGACCAGCCTGACCAACATGGAGAAACCCCGTCTCTACTAAAAATACAAAAAAATTAGCCAGGCATGGTGACACATGCCTATAATCCCAGCTACCGGGAGGCTGTGGCAGGAGAATCGCTTGTTCTGGGAGGCGGAGGTTTCGGTGAGCCGAGATCGCACCATTGCACTCCAGCCTGGGTAACAAGAGTGAAACTCCGTCTCAAAAAAAAAAAGAGAAAGAAAATAAGAAATTGTGGAGGGCAAGGGATGAAACGGGACAAGGTGAGTCTGCTAATGCATCTGTTCAGCCAAAGTGCCAGGCACACCAAGTTCCTACTGTCACTAAAAAATAGCAACAGAGCATGCCTTTTAGAAAAACAACCAGCCCAAGCAGCTTTGCATGGGCAAAGCCTGTCAGACGGTGGGTTTCTCTGAAGGTTCTTGGGGGTCAAGCATGTTCCTTCATGGGAGGACCCTCCCAGCAGTATCTATGAACTTTCACTTAACCCCATTTATTGGTTCAGCCCCTCACCCACCCCTCCCCAGTACCCCTAAGACCCGAAGCTTCTCTGGTTCCATTTATCCTTCAAATAATCCTCACGTCACCCCACTCCACCCCACCCAGAGGGGTAGCTGCTGGCTGCATGGCGTGGGTGGGACGCTGGGGAGCAGCACCCTGCTGATCCTTACGTAGACTTCCCACCAGTCCCCATTGTTGGCTGAAACCTCACCTCACCCTCCATGGTCCTGGTGGAGTTCCTGAGCCTCTCCAAGGCTCTGACAGGTAATTCCACTTGCCTCTTGGCCCCACCTTTTGGGAACACATAATTTCAGCTCTTAATTCTCCATCCACTTTCCATCTTTGAAAATGTCAGCCAGGCGGCCAGGCGCGGTGGCTCACACCTGTAATCCCAGCGCTTTGGGAGGCCAAGACGGGTGGATCACAAGGTCAGGAGATAAGACCATCCTGGCTAACACGGTGAAACCCCATCTCTACTAAAAATACAAAAAATTAGCTGGGCGTGGTGAACCTGGAAGGCGGAGCTTGCAGTGAGCTGAGATCATGCCACTGCACTCCAGCCTGGCGACAGAGCAAGACTCTGTCTCAAAAAAAAAAAAAAAAAAAAAAAAAGTCAGCCAGGCATGGTAGCTCACACCTGTAATCCTAGCACTTTGGGGGATGGAGGTAGAGGCGGGTGCCAGGAATTCAAGTTCATCCTGACCAACATGGTGAAACCCTGTCTACACTAAAAATACAAAAAAAT